CTGCAGTCTAAACGCTGGAGGCTGGAAGACACGGGATGTTATTTATGGTGGATTCCATTAGGTAGAAAATTACAAGTTCCAGTGTGAAGAACTTCAACAATCCTGACTTTAAAACCAGTAATGGGAGCTCAACAAAAGTGACTTAGGGTGCTTTCACACTTGGTTCAGTTGACTGGACTGTACCCAAGTTCGATTGTCCCCCCCTTACCACCTTCTCGTTTGGTTTGTGTTCACACTGTCTTTTTTCCTTCTGAACCCCGGTACGCTTGCGTCATCGAGCTGCTGTTTTGTTTACAGCTGTTGCTAGGTGACGGTCACAATAGCAAAGTGCCAAAATGGAAAGACGTCTGCACACATTGCGGTTGTTCTTCTTTTACTGAACCTTTCGGTTTTAAACATACAGAAAGCAGCAACGCAGTAGATAGTGATGTCGCCTCACAGCAAGAGGGTTGCTGGTTTGAGCCTCGGCTGTGTCAGTTGGCGTTTCTGTGTGGAGTTTGTATGTTCTCCCTGTGTTAGTGTCCCGCACAGTCCAAAGACATGCAGTACAGGTGAATTGGGTAGGCTTAAACTGTCTGTAGTGTATGAGTGTGAATGAGTGTGTGTGGATGTTTCCCAGAGGTTGCGGCTGGAAGGGCATCCGCTGCGTAAAACGTGCTGGATAAGTTGGCGGTTCATTCTGCTGTGGCGACCCTGAATTAATAAAGGGATTAAGTCGAAAAGAAAATGTATGAATGAATGAATGACATACAGAAAATTACTCGCGTCTGTCTGCCGCAAAAGTATTAAAACGTTCAGAACATCACGCGATCTGCAGAAGCTGACCTGGCTCACTCCCGCTTGTCACCAAGGTACAGTACGTGATACACACACACACACACACACAAATAAAAGTTATGAAAACAATAGTTTGTTGTACAGTTGGCTGTTCACTTCCGTTATTTGGTACTATTGCATTCATACCAGAAGTGAACCGGACCAGACTTCGCGTGAACCATACCCCAGACCACCTCTTTCAGGCGAACTCGGGTATGGTTCATGTGTGCGCACCCGAGTTCAGAAGACACATTCACACTTACTAAATGTACCATACTCTTGATGTTAAATAAACCCGGGTGCGGACCAAAGTGCTAGCGTGAAAGCACCCTTACTTACCTGCCTGGATCAAAAATGCTTCATTTTCGCTAACAAAATGACCACTGATTTACCTGAACCCTATATAATGTAAAATTTTATTTAAAGCCATTTTAGTTTCTCCACTTTGTGTGGGGCTTTATTCTGTGAATAACTAACTACCTGTATGTCCTTTATCTCATACTTAGAACTTATGTTTCGTCTCTCTCTACCTTTCAAGTGCTTCAGGATTAGCAATACCTACCCTTTTGGGGGGGTTGGTACTTTTAATTGACTGACGCTAACAATGGAGTAGTCCACATCTGCTTATGTCATGTGACAATAGTCATTTGCACATGCATTCTAATCAGTCTTCAGGTCTCCATTTTCCCGTCCAATGGTCGTTCTTTCGAAAACTTACCATATTCATTTCTCTCTCCGGTCTCTGTCCTCAGTGGAAAGTCTGGAGCCAGGCTGGCTGAGCGGCGATGTGAGGAAGGCCAATTACCTTCTGCCACCCGAGACTTCCAACAAAAACACCAGTGTGTGTAATTAAAGCATGAATGGCGGACCTCTCTCTTTACTCTCTCACCCTTTCATGATCAGGGCCTCTTTACGCGTGGACAGGAGGAGCACTGGAGGCCAGTGTGGGAACAGATGAGACAAACGCTTTTCATGAAATAAAAGATAAGATGAAACCTCTTCAGATTATCACATTGAACTGTCAAATAAATCCAAGGCTCCACTGTAATAGATAGGAGAGATATCTTTTTAAGAACACGGGCTTTACATGGCTCAGGAACTAGACAGGGATACTGTATAGGGGAATTACCAACCTACATCACACATGTTCAACCCTGCATGGCGGTTGCAAAAAAAGACCGGTTGCAATAGCAAACATGTCGTGTTGTGCGGTAGGATACCAAATTCGTAAAACTTAAATTTTACTGTACACTATACTGCTTTTAATGCCAACGGCAGACGTCTTTGGCTAACAGCCATCATAAGAGCTGAATGGAGTGAGGAATGCAGTTGTTTTGCTTGTTGATGAGTACCCAGGCCTTGTATAATGTTAGCAGAACCTCTGTTTTTAGCACTACATAGTATAACTACATTATTTCTTGCACATGACCACGCAGATCAAAATTTTTAGCATCCAAAGGCTTGTACGCCTTTAACTTCTCTAGTAAAATCACTTGAAGTTTCAATGAGATAGTTGTATATTTGGGGCTGGATGCTTGGCCATTTTGTCTTATCCGATATCCATTGTGAGGGTGCTACCGCAAATGGACCTGTCAGGCGAACGCCGCTCACTTTAACGTTAATTTTGCTAAATAACTGTGCTTATCACTGGGTGACAAGCTGTTATAATACATTGAAAGCATTATGTAAATAATATATAAAAAAGGGCTCGAAATTGCGACCATTTTAGTCGGATAGGCACCCGAAATGTATCTATGCGACCTCGAAATATATTTAGGAGCATTTACGCAAGTGCATAAAATTAATGTTGTGCGACCAGTTTTCACAGCAAAATGTTCATCACATGCGCGGAACTACTAGGCATTCCCACATTAAGCATCTTTGCACCTAAAAGCGGCAAACGCAGCGCTTTAGGAATGGTTTAAAACAGTTGTCATGTCAACTTGCTGCAGTAAACAAAGCCCGCAATGGTTGCCCCGCCTTCATACTCTTCTTATTGGCCCACAGCGCTAGAACAGAACGCAAATTTATTGGTTAATATCAGCTGTCAATCACTCAGTTCCGCTAACGGGGTGCCACAGCCGCGAAAACGCAAAGGTCTGGATCAGAGAGAATGATAATAACAGACAGATTTAGTTTTAGAACCCACCTAAAGTTACAAATAATAGCACATCTGATTAGTGATCATGTGCTGAATGTCAATCCAGCATTTACACTTTTCAAAGAGTGGATGAAAGACTTCCAGTGTTTAACGTCCGCTATGAAAATGACAAAAGCATTCACCGTAAAGTCGGTGGGACAGAGTTTTCAGGTAATCGTGTTCTAACATTATTTAATCCTTCATTTAATCGTCAAGATGCTGTCAATCGTGCTTTTGGCACCACGTTCACCATCGTTAAAGAGCATTCACTGAGATGAAGCTAATATTGCTATCAAATCTTAGCCAATCAGATTTGAGAACCAGACAGAACAGTTGGAACAATAAATATAAATTAAATAAATGGCTGCTGAGTTTTTCAACTAAGTAGAGGCTTGAAACCGGAAGCATTTTACGCTAAGAATCAATTTACTTAGTAAAATGAATTTTTTTTAAGTTAAAGTTTTCTAAATGCAAGATGCAAATAAATTAATCTCTAAATTGATCTGTTTTTATGACCTGAAATACAACCGTTAAACGACATATTTCACCAAGCATAGACTACTTAAAGAAACAGTTCACCTGAAAATTAACATTTACTCATCCTGAGGTGAATCCAAATCGTTTTGTTTATCTTATGAACACAAAATATTGTTTTGAAGAATGTTAACAGGTAACCGCTGACTGCTAAAATAAGACAAATAAAGTCACTGCTGTCACTTACAAACATTTCCAAATATCTCATTTTGCGTTTAATAAAATAATCCCACAAAGGTTTAAAGGGACAGTTCACTCACACCTGAAAATTCTGCCATTGTTTACTCCATGTCACAAACCGGTTTGAGTTTCTTTCTCCTGTTGAACACAAAAGAATATATTTTGAAAAATGCTGAAAACCTGTAACCATTCACATCCATAGTCTTTGTTCTTCCTACTACAGCGTTTCAACAAGTGTATTTGTTTTCTAATGGCCAAGTTGGTCTAGTGGTAAAGATTTTTTTACTCGCCCCAAATAAAAATTTTCCATTAGTTATTTTCTTAGTCATATATTTTACATAATGTGTCAAACAAGCAAGCAACCCCAGTTGTATACATAATCCTTTTTCCAACACTAATTATAAACTCTTTAGAAACTATAATAAACAAATGTATGCACATGAAACAGTCTATCCAGGTCCTATATCAGGAGTCACCAAACTTGTTCCTGGAGGTCTGGTATCCTACATAATTTACCCCCAACCCTAATGAAACACACCTGAACAAGCTAATCAATGTCTTACCAGGTATACTTGAAACATCCAGGCAGGTGTGTTGAGGCAAGTTGGAGCTAAACCCTGCAGGGACACCGGCCCTCCAGGACCGAGATTAGTGACCGCTGTCCTATATGGTCTACAACAGTGTTTCTCAACCACGTTCCTGAAGGACCACCAGTACTGCATGTTTAGGATGTCTAGTTTGTCTGTCACACCCATTACAGGTCTTTCAGTCTCTGCTAATCAGCAGATGACCTGAATCAGGTGTGTTTGGATAAGGAGAAATGTGCAGAGCTGGTGGTCCTTCAGGAACATGGTTGAGAAACACTGCTCAACAAAGAACTTTCAAACTGATTTTAATGCAAGGAAGATATTAAAATCACATTGGTTATTAAGCTATCAATTTAGCTATTAAACTGTTATACATACAAAGCTTTGTTAAATGTAATAAGATTGTTCACATGGACATAGTAAAATTAAGACCAACATGACAATAATTCAGTAAATAAAGACTTTTAAAAGCATTTTAAGACTCCGCAGACACACTGTACTATGGAAGTCAATAGTTACACATTTTTCAAAATAACTTTTGTGGTTTGGAACCACTTAAGAGGAAATAAATGGAACGTAAACATTCATTTTTGGGTGAAAAGCCCCTTTTCTAGTGTAGTAAATAAAAAATAAAAAGTATTCTCAAATAGGTTTTGAAACAAAGCTCGACTTATGAAGCTCTACACATTTTTATGACTCAGGTGGGAGAAACCAGAGGGGTTTAGAGACCATGACAAATCTTGGACATTGTACAATGTTTTATTAAAAAGTAAAGAAATTACACAAAAAAGGAAAAAAAAAAAAGTCATCCCCAAACCTACCAGGCCCTCCCCTTCATTCCCGCCCCTTATTTTTTATATAACACAAGATTTTACAACTGGCAGTGACACTGAAGGGGTCTTTAAAATAAGAAACACTTTCCGAATAGGTGCACTTTGTGGGTGCAAAAGGGGGCAAGAAATAAGGATCTCTTTAAACTTAAGTTTCCCTACCAGGTTGTGGAGCTATTAATACATAGGAAAGAAGCTTTGACCACCACTAGAACCTCCTGAAAGCATCTGATAACTGAAAGAGAGCCTTTACACTCTATAGCTCTTTCTCCAAGCAATCTTGGTCTGACGTATTATAGTTTTCACAGGTCAACTCGAGAACATACTGTAAAGTTTTAAAAACAACAAAAAAATTATACAAAGAAATAGGAATACCAAGCCTAAAGAGTGAATATTATGATAGTGACCTCGCTTTTGAAGATGAAATTCAGCTTAATCCAAATAAGGGGGACAATTAAAGCAGAAAAATCCTTTTAAAAATCCAAAGTAGAGCCCTGAGCAGCCCTGAATTTCCGTGGCTATAGTTAAAAATCAAAATACAGCCAGTGTGTAATATTTACATATTAATATAAAAAGGAAAGATGAATATTATACACTCATATTTATGAATGTGTCTGATTTTACCCTCTTGATTTCAGGTTCAGTTCATCACTGAAAAAGGATTTCGGTGGGGATATAACATTCAAATGTCAGTTTAACACAAATGGGGGGGGATTTTCATTAGAAGACCACTGTAGTAGAGTGCCACCTACTGGGAATAAGAGCAGCATGAGTTTTTACAATAATTCAATAGATGAATGAGTGATTTTTTTCTTCACAAACAGAAGGTGTTAACCAAACTTGAGGATGACAGTTTTCTTTTATTATTGAAAAAGAAATTAAACAACTGGGTGGCACATTCAAAAATAAAGAGTTTTAATTCAATGTCATACCACCATGGGGGTTTGGTGCCAATTAAACAGCTCTTCTGAGAAAACACAAGGTCAGTTGGATCTAAAGAGCCTCTCTTTTAGGACAGTCACGGGTTAAACTCGCTTTAAAGGCAGTGTGAGGTTTCTTTCGGGATCACTTTGTATCGTTACTTCCAAATCTATCAATACGACACATGGCTTGGTGGTGTTTGCAACCCGTTTGCAATCTTTTCCGTAATATAAGTGGCTTCATTTTTTTTCTCTTTTGTATTTTTTAGGTCAAATATCAAAATGAAAAAGTCTTAAGAGCTCAAAAAAAGATGACGTCTCGTTTTCAATGCAAATTGTCAAATTGAAAAGGCGAAAGTCACCATTATTAATCAACTTACAAATATAAATCAGTTTTCTCCAATATTAACATAAAAATGTCTCAAAACAATAGTAAAATAAACAGAAACATCTACACCGGGAGTGAGATTTCAGGGTTCTGTCCGATATGCATTGGGTTTGGGGTGGCCCGTTTCACCTCCTGATTAATAAGGAGGGGGAAGGGTACAAAACAAACACAAAATAATAAAGAAAAGAAAAAAAACACCCTGGTCTTCACGAGCGTTTGAGCCTCTTGGAATGTCGCTGGCCTCCTGAGTCTTCATCACTGCTGGCTTCCTTGTTGTCCGTCACTCCTCGCGATGTCCGTCTCAAACCAGTTCTCCTGCTGTCCTGCTCACTGTCGCTGTCCTGCTCGTGATAATCTTTACGATTTGTCCGCCTGCTCTTTCTCACAGGTTCATCCTCATCATCATCTTCTTCACTCTCACTGTCATCTTTGTTCTGTTTTGTTTTTTTCTGTCTCGAGTTGTCTTGTTTTCTTCTGTTTGTTGTTTGCTTCCTATTTTTCTGCTTCTTCATTTTCTCGTCCTCCTCTTCCTCATCATCATCTTCTTCACTCTCACTGTCATCTTTGTTTCGTTTGGTATTTTTCCGTCTTGAGTTGTCTTCCTTTCGTCTGGATGAGGCTTTTTTGCTTCGTTTCCCATTCTTTTGCTTCTTTGACCTCTCCTCCTCCTCTTCATCATCATCATCATCCTCATCATCTTCACTCTCATCTTTGTTTCGTTTGGTATTTCTCTGCCTCGAGTTGCCTTTTTTTCTGGATGAGTTTTTTTTGTCTTGCTTTCCATTCTTCTGTTTTTTTGACCCCTCGTCATCTTCTTCCTCCTCCTCATCTTCCTCATCATCATCTTCTTCTTCTTCACTCTCACTGTCATCTTTGTTTCGTTTGGTATTTTTCCTTCTGGAGTTGTCTTCCTTTCTTCTGGATGAGGCTTTTTTGCTTTGCTTCCCATTCCTCTGCTTTCTTGACCTCTCGTCGTCCTCTTCCTCATCATCCTCATCCTCATCTTCTTCACTCTCACTGTCATCTTTGTTTCGTTTAGCATTTTTCCGTCTGGAGTTGTCTACCTTTCTTTTGGATGAGGCTTTTTTGCCTTGCTTCCCATTCTTCTGCTTCTTTGACCTCTCGTCCTCCTCCTCATCATCATCATCATCATCACTGTTGTCTGATGGAGTCGCAGCACGTTTTCTTGTCCGACGGCGCAGGTAACTGACTCCTGGAAGGCTCTTCTGCAGGAGCTCGACAAACGCCTCCTCGGTGCGGGACATGCAGGTCAGGACGTTGCTGCTGGGCTGGTTGTATTCTTCTGCGTTGGAGAAGATGAGCTTCATGTCCTCGATGAAATCGCTGGCACTGTGATACTCGGATGATTTGAACTTTCCCTGCATGGTGGTCAAGTCCATCGGGCTGGTGATGACGTCCTGATAATCCTCGGCCTCTTCAGCAGATACGGGTTCCCTGGATGAGATCAAGGAAAAGCAGAAGAATGTTTCAATTGGCTTCTCAGTGTGACTACATGAGATTTGTTTACAAATTTAAATGATAACAAAACTTTCAGTAGACAGTTGGTTACCTTTGAAGCTTAACAAAATCACATTTTGTATGAGAACATAGATGACTTGTGAGTTTACATGTTACCAATGTTTACTCGATTTTAGTTTCGGGCTTTGGCGCGCTTTGCACTTACACACAAGCGTACCGTACCAAAGCCCAAGCGAACCGCGCTCAGCCTGAGCCCGATTCAGTGCACTTACACTTCTCAAACGTTCCAGGAAACAGGCCTGGGCACAGTCCCGATAGCATTGTGTGAGTACGCCCTCAATCTCTTACAGCAGGGTTCATACACATTTTTACTACTAAAATTCAATGACTTTTCCAGGACTTTCAAGTAAATTTTCATTACCTAATGTTTCATGTAATGTCCATGTATACATGTGAAATAATAGGAAAAAGTATTCATCTTTAAAGTTATTACAGCATATCATAAAACATGAACAATCTATTTAGTCTAACTTGATAATTATATCCATGTAAAATGTATTGAGATAATGTTCACACAACACAAATAATGTGAGGGCATGTGTTTGACCATGAATAGAAAATAAGTTAAAACAACTAACCTACATTATATTTAAGTATACAGACATTTGTTAAACTAATTTCCATGAGTTTTCCAAAACTTTGTGAGTTTTTCCAGATTTTCCAAAACTTTTCTAGGCCTGGAAAATGCCATGTCAAAATTCCATGACTTTTCCAGGTTTTTCATGACCGTATGAACCCTGTCATAGTCACACACAAGCCAGAAGATCGTATCAGAGTATGAATATGAATCAATAGTGAACAGGTTTACACCTGGTGGCATTAGCTGAAAGCAGCAAAGGGCTGCAAAAAAGATGGAGACCTAGCCTTCATGCTACTGGATTTGTAAGTACTATAGCAAGCAAATGTTACAGCGTTTAACATTTTGATAGTACAGCAGGTCATATACACAACACATTTTTGTTAGAAGCATAGGTTTATTAAATTGGACAGCCAATGAAACTTGCCTTCTTTCATTTTTTGATTAAAAAATGATCTGATCCATAAATCAAAACTTATTTGAAAATGTGACTTTGTTATTCATGTAACGACTGATTACCAAAGAGAGGAAAAGAAAATCAATTTAATAAAAAAATACTGAAAAATGGCACATAGATACACAAAACTGTGATTAACTTATCAATTAATAATAAAACTGAGTGAGGGTGTACCTGAAGGGCCAACTGTGGCGGAATTTCATTATCTTCTGAAGGATCTCCTCACATTTCTGAAGCTCGACATCCTTTTTTCTTGATGGAGGCTTGGAGCTCTGCCGGACCTGCACACAATCAACAACACTTCAGGAACGTTGGTATTTCACTTTATAGAATAGCAGGTTTCTGAAGATAGTTTAATTACGGCTGATCCAGAGACAAATATTTGCATTTAAAAACTTTTTTAGAACACACTTTGCATAGTCTAGTTTCACAGAAAACAACATATTTTTTAACTCAATAAATATACATTAAATGACTTGAATGACTAATAATAAAGTCGTTCTGAACTTGATATTTGACTCTAATTCAATACTATTAATATCTCTTTCATTCTGATTAAGACTTTGAGACCTGCAGAAACCAAGCTATATTCACTAAAACATACACTGCCTGAGTCTTGTCCTCGATCCCAGTTGTAAGAGCAAAAAATAATAACTTGACTGTCTAGTTGATCATTTGGAAAAGTGGCAGAAGGTAGATTTTTTTGGTGAATCATCTGCTGAACTGCATAACAATTACAAATACTGCAAAAGACCTATTGGAACCTGCATGGACCCAAGATTCTCACAAGATTGGTAAGGAAAATTCATGATTTGGGGTTACATTCAGTATGGGGGCATGCGAGAGATCTGCAGAGTGACAACATCAACAGGCTGAGGCATTTGTGCAGCCCATTACATTACAAACCCCAGGAGAGGGCAAATTCTTTAGCCGGATAGCAAAGACGGTCAAGGTGCTTCAGGATTGGCCAGCCCAGTCACCAGACATGAACATTATTGAGCATGTCTGGGGTAAGATGAAGAAGGCATTAAAGATGAATCCGAAGAATCTTAATGAACGCTGGGAGTCCTGCAAGAAAACTTTCTTTGCCATTCCAGATGACTTTATTATTAAGCTATTTGAGGCATTGCAGAGATATATGGACGCAGTCCTCCAAGCTCATGGGAGTCATACACATTAATCATTTTCCCACTGAACCATGACTTTATATTCTATACTGTACATAATTTCTGTTAGGTAACAAGACTTTTCTTTAGGCAGAGTCAGACCTTACTGTCCTAATTATGCAATTAAATGTTTTTTTTTTTTTTAAGGCATAATCATTTGATTTTGATAAAATAAGCACAACCTAGAGGCCTTTCATATTAGCCACTTCTAATACTAAATGATCATCTAGAAGTCAAGTTATTATTTGTTGTTCCTGAAACTTGGATAGGCAAAACTTTTGTCAGGTAGTGTACATGATGTTCCCACAGTCATTAACATTTTATGCCTTAACACATTGAATAATCCTTAACTGGTTCTTTTACCAGTACTTTTTAATGATTCAGCTAATCTTTTTTTAAAGCATTAATAAATTATCCTGATGTAGTACATACAGTTCAGTTCTGCACACCTCGCTTCACTCACCAGTTCATCGATGTCAACAGGGCTGCTTGGTGCAGCTCGTGATTTAGGTTTGGCAGAAGATTTGGGAGAAGTTTTGGAAGGGTTAGTATCTGTTTTAGAAGCTGATCTAGAAGCAGGTTTGGCAGGTTTCTTCTGCATTTTGGACTTCGAAGATGTCTTGACCTTTTTCCTTGATCTCACTGTAATAAACAGCAAAAACTAGAGTTGATCACAGTTAAAACTAGAGTTGGTGCAAATACTTTTAGACAAAGTTTGAAGCCATTCAGCAAAACATGATGCTAAAAAACATTTGATAGACAACATAGCTGATCTCATTTTTACTGAACATATTGAGATATTAGTATCATTATTTTAGTCTTACGGATATCTATAGGTCCAAAACTAGGGGTGCACTATTTTTTAAATCTATCCAACCTTGATACAAAAATTCTGAGTATCGACTGATCCAGAATCTGTGCTATTTTTTTTTTTTTACAGAATACAGTTTCTATTGTTTTGGTGATGAACTCCAATAATATATCTTTAGTAAAATTAACAGACCTGTAGGCCTATTATACATGCCAGACACACAATCTACCTAAAAACATGATGCTTGCTGTAAACTAGGCTACATTATTTGAGCATTCCTTACGATATTGATAGGATCTGCTGTGGTCCAGCTTACGTTTTCTTTTTTAATATTAATATTGTTTTAAGAAATCTGTAATAGGCTACTACTATTTACCTTCATTGCTGGTAAAATAACCAGCCTTTTAGCAAAGCCTGATATTTTCAGGTTTGGCGCAGGCTAAACTAAACTGTCTAAGGCCATATTTGACTTATTAAACACACCGTTGCCAAATCTCGCTGTGATTGAGATGAAAAAAATGAAAGCACATTAGCACTGAGGAAAAATCAGATGCTCAAGACATAATCTTTAAAATTGACATATTATGTAGCAAATATATTATAGGTTTTTGATACAACAAATACAGTGGGGAGTTAATTAAGCGCTTATTTACCATGGCCACCCGCACAGTTGTGTTTATTGTTCATCTATTTTTGTCTGAAAATAATTTTTTTGGAACAAATTTAGTTTGGTAAAATTTGTATCCTAATTTTAATGTATTTTTTGTTGGTCATGTGCTTAAGCGTAACCACTCTTGCTGGCAGAGCGGTGATAAAAACAAAACGCTACTAGCTGTTTTTTGGAGCTACTCAACGTCCCGCCCTCTCTTTTTGTTTCAATTAAGATTACATCGAACATCGAATAATACAAAAAAAAATAAAGAAAAAAAATCACATTGGAAAGCGTTTAACAAGACCTTTAAGAAAATAAATAAATAAATAAATCCAACTCCTGAATCATAACATTAAAATACTTTTTCCCCCCAACCCCTAGCGAAACAGACTGTTCTTAACATCTTCAGTTGGCACTCACAGCTGTGTCCTGTATTTCTGTGTTCTTCTTCTGAGTCTTCCTCTTCAGATTCCTCTTCATCTTCTTCCTCTGAATCCTCCTCTTCCTCAGAGTCTTCTTTGTAGTTTCTTCACATGCAAAGAGGTGAAAATTAAAGAACTTTGATAATAGGGATTAAACAGAAAGATGAATAGAGCCTCATAGTTACATTTATTAAAACTAAACAAACAGCTAGTACACCTAGAGAGAAAAAGAAAAAAAAGGCACAGAATAGCCACACTTTACAATGTGCACATGACCTTACCTTCCTCTGGAGCTGCGTCGGGCAATGGTTGGCTGACAGGCTGGACAGAGCCACTCGCCCGCTGGTATACGGTACAAGGCCGGTCTCAGACAGAACAGGTGGAAGGCTTTGTTACACTCATCACACAGAATCAACTTATCATCCTCTCCTGCAAAGAAAGACATTCATAAATCAGATTAATTGCATATTAAATCTTCCATGCAGTACTTCCTCCGTGTCGCTCGTATTACAGCAACAGGTGCCGTGTAAATCTCAAGACATTTTCTGTTTGATCAGCCCCTTGTCTATTTCATACTCTACAGGTGCGAAGTCAGCTACTCCCTGCGGTCTGAGTAGTAAAGGTCATTTGTTTCACATATAATAGGGTTTCCCAATGCATCTGGTGAAGTTATGTAAGGTGGACCCGGGTTTTGCTAACTTAAAATAAAAATAAAAACCGTAAAGATTTTTCATTATCATTAATATCAAGCAATTTACTATAAATTGCTGCCTTTTGGGATTTGATAAACCATTCCACAATTTAATTAACGAAATGGTGCAAAAAACAATGGTATAAGATCTTAAATATTATGAGAGGTGTACATTCCTTATAAAACTTGGTCAGGTAATAAAGCCACTGTCAAGGCAATAGGAACCATTTAAACATTTGGATGCTTCAAACTAGTTTTGTACGCCACAATAAACTGTAAAGACATCTGACAGTTCTGAAATCAGTTTGAACAAATGCTCCTTTAATTTAGCTTAAAAAACATCTGGACATTTGCTTTGTCATTGGGGGTGTATAAAGCTACAATCTAAAAACAACCAACTTAAAAAATTATAACAGATACAATTTTAATACAAAATTGGATAACTTTGTTCAACAACATCTGAGGTCGATCTTGAAGATTCTCACCTTTCCTGCGGCACACTTTACAGCGAGCGTTCTCAGCAGACATATCCCACTTGATGCAGGCGTCCAGCATGCCGAGCAGAACATGCATGCGAGAGAAAGTCTGCGCTTCACGAACAGCAGTTTTCCACTTTTCCACCGCTGTTGCTACCTAGAAATTTAAAATGCACAAGTAGGTTAGTCTAGTGTGAACACTATAAAACAAATTTAAAAAGTGCCACCAGCAAGGTTACATTAAATTGATTTAAGCCATGGTCACACTGCATTTTTTGCCTTATAAAGGGCTCCCGTTGTAAGTCAGATGTTAAATTTCATGATTTACAGACTAAAGAGATGAATTTCCTTGATCTATAATGAAAAAGAGCTGTTGAGAATTCCCTCCAGAACTGAGTGATTCTGCGATTGCTGAATTTAAGGCAAAATAAAGCAAAAAAACAAAACAAAAAAAAAGGCACACAATTTAAGCTTGAATGTTTTCTGACAGATTTCTGGCAGATATTGGTCAGCCAGGACACTTTATATTAAATGACATTATCTTCGCATATAGAAAGTGCTCATCCGGTACCCTGAGCTATCATAGATGTGGTACCGTATAGTGCTGCATGGCATCTGCAAAATAGCATGACGTGATAGCATGAGACCAATCAGAAGATTAAAACTTGATCTCTCTGTACGACATAAATAATATGGAGTTTTATCTGTCTAATCCTTTAGTTTTATCCTGCCCCTTTTCACAGCACCTTATGACAAAATTTCTCAAGCTCAAAATAGTGTGACCTTGGCTTTAGTTGTCAGAAGAGACTTTTACATTGTTGCAAAAAAAGAAAAGTTCTTTCAGGGTGACATTGAAGACTTGAGCAACAGATGTGAAAATAAATTGGCTAATTTAGCCAATTCTATTTTATATCAAATGGAAATGCCAAGAGTGTACAAAGCAGTAATTAAAGCAAAAGGTGGCTACTTTGAAAAACCTAGAATATGACATTTTCAGTTGTTTCACATTTTTTTGTTATCTATATAATTCCACATGTGTTAATTCATAGTTTTGATGCCTTCAGTGTGAATCTGCAATTTTCATAGTCATGAAAATAAAGAAAACTCTTTAAATGAGAAGGTGTGTCCAAACTTTTGGTCTGTACTGTAATATTGTTGTTGTTTTACCATAAGTTTGAGAATTAACAATAATAATAGCCCCCTCATTTTAACTTTTATTGTACAATTACAGAATCGTGAAAAAAATCGTGATCTTGATTTTATTGGGGGGGGGCACGACATGATTCTCATGATTTCACATGTTTGCACCTTCGATTTATAAATATGTTATATAAAAACAAAACAGATGGCACAAACGGAATTCGCACAGTGCCTTGGATTGGCTAAAATCTGCAGGAGTCAGAAAACAAAAATGTAAAAAATTATAGAGAAATTACATTTACATATGTTTTTTTGTTTTTGCAATCAATTTACCAATTGCAGAATCACTAGATTATGGAGGGTCTTCTCAACACAACAGATGCCTGGTTTTCTAGTCATTGTAGGTCATTGTAAGGGAATTGCACATTTGGCATTGAGTGTAAACCCTGAACATATTTTGTAACATATTTCAAATAGCAATAATATCACATTGTGACAAATATTGTATGATGGTGGATTCCCTTGCTAACATTGTCATTAATGTCATTTATTTATTATGTCAGCATCACAGACACTCACCCGGGCCTCTTCAGCCAGTTTCTTCTGATCATCCACCTCCTCAGCCGTTGTGCTCTCCTCACCACCAGTCTTCTTTTTCTTCTTCTGTTTGGGTGCCATGAAGCCCTGCAGAAACTTCTTGATAACGCTCTCTTGCAGAGCGATCACACACTCCCCAAATTCCGGCAGCTTCTCCAGCGTTTTTACCTTAAAAAACAAGTGAGATGTCAGGATTATGTTCAGTGTGCTGCTGATATCCTTGACTAGACAGTAACACATCCTATTGAGTGCCAAACCCAACCACATGTAGTCATGTGTGTGTCTCTCACCCTCTCCTCAAATTCCTCAAACTCGGATGTGTCTTCCAAGTATCCCAAGCCACCTTTCTGCAGACGAGAAGCCACCTCGATAATGTCACTGCGCAAGAATTTGAGCAGCTCCTGGTGTCCGTCGCAGGTCTTCAGGCCTGGGTTTCCTTTTTTCGTCAGATGGATGGAATGCAAGATTTCCTGGTAACTAAAACGAAAGACAACCGTATTCATTTCAGCAGTTTTTACTAAGTAAAAGTTTGAAATGTGACAACATTCATTCAGAAATGGTTTACTATGAAGGTTTGAGGTCAGGGGAAAATAGACTTTTGTTTATTTATGCGTGTGCATGCACGCGTGTACTCACTTGATTTGTAACCTTATTTTGAGTTCACTTTCTCTTACTCCCTGAGGGTGAAGGCTCTCTAATAGTTCATCAAAGTCTTTTGGTGTATCACACACGAACCTGAAATAAAAAAATATTTTTTTTTAGCACTGCCACACAATATAGACACAGAAGCACGAGTCAAATTGGAAACAATAGCCAATCTAAGTCATCTATAATCATTCATGCATTTTAGAAATTTTTCTTTTTGGACGTTTTTTTCTCTCCACACTATGCACAGCACAAAACAATTTAAGCTTGGAGGTACAAATTACCACAAGGCTCATTTCCCAGACACCAACAGTACAGGTTGGAATTTGCAAGAACACTAACCAGAGGTTTTGGCCTTGTTTGGGCACAGTGGTCTCGATAGAAGACTCATGCGATGGCGCCCCCTGCTGGCTAATGTCGTTAGATGCGCTGATTATACTGCCCTCATCTTCTTTCTCTCCATCTGAAAAGTCAAAGAACAACGATTTTCAAACATGCAGGCTTTGCTGTACAGCATTGTTTTGTTAAAATACATTTAAGTGGGTTTTATTTTCCCACAGAAACAGAAAGTAATGGAAGTTAAAGGGATAACAACCAAAAATATAAAAGTCATAATGTACTCATCCTTGTTTCAAAACTTTCTTTTCTTTTGTTAAACCCAAAAGTTGATGTTTTGAAGAAAGCCAGAACCCTGTACCCAATAACTTGCATAGAATTTTTTTCTAATCTGTAAGTCAATGGTTAAAGGTTTTCAGCTTTCTTCAAAATATTTTGTGTTCAGCAGAAGAAAGAAACTCAAAGCTTTGGAACTGTTGGAATATCAGGTCAACTCCATGCGTGTTCAATAAAAAAAGGTCTGGAGAGGCTTTTCTTCAATGCCAAAAATATTAGTAATTTGTTAGATACAAATGAATAATTCGATGACAGAGCTCTGGGCTACGTTACCCCAATGCAATACAAGACATACATTCAGGAGGTTCGCAAATGACATACATTTCCCTGACTCCAGCATACTTACACAACTGATATTAAAGGTGGAGTTTTGGTGTAACCTCATCAGTCATTCTGCAGTTTTTGAGTGTTGCACCCAGACATACTTCCTCTTTTCTGCAACCCTTCTCTGCATACCAGAACTGAACAATTAAGTGCATCTTCAATATATTTCACAACTTCTACAAGCATCATGCTCCTTTTGACATGTCTAGACTTCTCATTAGACACCAGTCTGGAACAAGGGCCCCCGCACTACATTTATTCTTATTCTGCTATTTTCCTCTTTTCAGTTCCTTCTAAAAAGTATGCAACACAGTTAAAAAGAAGTATGCCTGGTCAATATATGGTATCATACAAAAAAAAAAGATTGTTGTGTTGTTAGTCTAAACATTTTTCTAATAAAAAATAAAAACCCAAAAGTAATAAAAATAAATTCATTTTTCTCCACAGAACAACTTGAGACTAGGGATGCAACAATTAATTGATTTCACTATTAACCATACTTTAATTCATCCCTGTTAATAAATCGTAAAGCTTCTCAGCACCGCGTTTTTGCATGGAACAAAACTGCTGCAACTAAAAGTAATGCTAACTGTGTGCTAGTTTGAAGTTCTGTGCTCGTACACCAAGGCTAGTCCATAAACTCACTGAATTAACTATGGCTGAGGCTATTAACTAAGAGCCGTTCACATAATGCATCTTTCCAGGCGCACCTAGTTAAAAGAATGCCGTGAGAGCATCGCGAGTCACCCAACAATAACCAACCGAGCAGCTTTATACTTTGTATGGAATAAACACATTTCTACTCCAACAAGAAGAAAAAAAATGCAAAACAAAAATAGCAAACAAGTTTATAATCCAGTTGATCTAAAGAGCCTTTCAGACAGAGGCTCAGCAACAATTTGACTACATTTGTTCTCTTTAAAAGGGAAATACTTAGCTAATATGTAGGTTAGATTAGCATAAAACAAATTTTTTATATATTCATTCATTTATTCGGGCATTTATTTATTTATCTATCCATTGTTCTGTCACTTATTTTCAGTGTACAATTATTACTTATGTTTAAATGCCAAAACTTTTTACTTATTTTTAAGTTCAAAGAGAAATGGACAATTATTTGTTTTAATATTATTTTGTACTGTATTTAGTTATTGAGCCACAATATTTTTTCTAAACTATTATTGTTTTGAGATTCATGAATGCCTCATGATCATGATAACTGAAACTGTGATTATTCCTCTGATTATAATCTATAACTTGTTGCATCCCTACTTGTGACAGAATATGAGTAAATGTTCAGTTTTGGGTGAACTATCGCTTTAAGAATCGTATTTGACAAAACTGGTTAGGTAGAAGTTTCCAGTAAGATCCAAAAAAAACTTTTGGGTTTCTTGTACAACAGATGTAAAGGTTTATTTATGCTTGTGTCAATGTCTGACATTGCCTTCACACAGTCGCATGACCTACAGTTGCTGTGCATTTAATAAGTGTCAGGGTTTGATGAAGTAGCTCCAAATGGATGTTCACTTTAAGATTAGAATTATTGCATAATCACTAGTTCCTCCCTCTTTGCCTCTTTCCTCCTTAACTGAGTTTGAGCTACTTCTTACAGGTGTAAACTTAAAACAACAGCAAAAATTCAACACAGAGGAACAGAGAAACACAGAAAACCCAACAACTTACTAATGTTTCGGATGTAATATTGTCAGGGAACCACAAACAGAATGTATAAGTATAAGCTACGTGCAGGGCATCCACAGTGGGTTACAGCCATCACTCCACGAAGAACTAAAATTCAACCTTTAGTCTGGGAAATGTACATGTTTATGTGTCTAATATTACACATTACAATAAAAGGTTTAACATTTGAGGGTCCGATCTAGTTTGAATAACACAGGACATAATTTTGAAAAGGTTTTTCACTGTCTGTATACAGCGGCATCTAGTATTTCCTACAACTTTTTACCCCTAAACAAAGAAAAAAGTAAAAATTAGACTAACCTTCTGTCTCCTCCTCTTTTTTCACCTCCTCCTCTTCTTCTTCTTCTTCGGTCAACACTGGCTCCTCTTCAGGAGGAAGTGTGAACGAGTAGTCTATACTCTCGTGAACCCATCCTTTCTCAATGTATAGTCCAGGAACGACATCAGAGAACAGCCAGTAGCGGTTGTGATTGCGGTCTGTACCCAGCGGCGTTCTCCTCAACACCAGCTTAGCTTTAGTGACGGCATCCTGGAAGGCTTTCTCAGTGGCAGCTTTTTGCCTCCTGATACGCTCCTCTTCTGCTTCCTTTTCCATACGCACTGCAGAATATGAAGATATATTTTAGTATCATTTCATATCTTTTATACCATTTAATAAAACCCTTAAAGTTACATCAAGAAGTAAACTAAAAACAACAGGCTGGAGATACTACTTTTACTTAAATTGTTCACATTTGTGCTAATCATGTTATTTGCACTAAAGCTTTGAAATTATTCTTTAAAATATGTTTTGAAATGAATAAATTACTTTATAGCCGTAGCACCAAAAATGAAAAAGTCCGTAAAAATGTCAGTTTCTCTTTTGCTCACTAAAGCTATGGGGATTTGCTCAAAAAATACAGTAAAACTGAAACATTGTGAAATATTACCATTCAAAATAATTGCTTACCTGCTGACAAATGTATATTAAATGCAATTTACTTTTGTAATCAGTGTTATACATTTGTTATTATCAAAAATTAAACCGATGCTGTTGGAACTTTTTCTGGGGGGTATTCCAGAAAGCTGGGTTAACTTACCATCTGCTAAAACCTAAACTCTCGGTTGATTTACCCAAAACCTGCTTACCGCGAGTATGTTGGTTCCAAAACAGGTGACAAGAGTTAGTTAAATCAACCTCCTGAAGATAACCGCGGGTTAATGCGCGTGCACGGCACACACCTGAAGGCATTTTCAGTAGATCGCCGAATTCACGAGTCACCATAGAAAGTCACGGTGAGAAAAAAAAGGGCAACGCACTTTACAGAGGCGAAGCTGGAGGTTTTAAACACAGAGATTACACATCTGCTTCAACGAAGGAAAGAAATATAGAATACGAAATAGATAAGAAAATAAAAAATAAATAATAAGAAAATTTATTAGTTCATTAAATTACACATGCCACCCTCCATTTTATTGTAATGATAAATTAAACTACTCTTTAACATCCTTTTTGAGTATGTTGTGTAACCATTCATGCATTTATTTTTCTTGCCATTAATTTCTTAAGGCCACAATATGTGTGTTGACTAAAAAGGCTTATAGAAATTGTAATCTTTCTGGAGCTAGAACTCTGTCCAAAGTCATTAAACACAGAAACATTATCATAAAAGGTAATATTTAATTACTGGAGCTCTTTATTTAACACTCTAGAATATTCTTTCTGACATGCAGCTAATAAAAAGAGGCCTGTCTAACTGCTGTGTCTTATAATAAAGGCTTTTCAGTGGTTGAGTTTTTGACTTAAACCACACACTCTGTCACTGTTGTAAGTGATTGTTGTCAGATAGCTTTAGGTTCTTTTTATTTTGCATGCAGACGAAGTTCCTTCTGCCTCAACTAACAAGCAGTGTAAGAATTTTCTGCACTTTTCCATATTTGAATATTACTCTTGGATCACAAAATCTTTTATCTACATATTTAAATTCTAAAGTAGCTGTATAAGGTTCATCTTCAAAGATAAAGTCACATGAGCATCAACTTAAGGTGAGAAATGTATATGAAAAATATGTTACACGTTGAAAGGTGTGTGTATAAAGCAGTGTACAAAATCATTCATTTTATTTCAGGAAATGAAGTAATGAACAGACCAAACTATTTGATTAAACATAGTTTTTTGACTAATTATATATTTTTAGCACTCTTCCATCTGTTTTGTCTGCTTGGGTCACTGAGATTTCCTCTGGGTCAGGCTGCAGGTATGGTGTCATCGTATAAGGCAGAAAAGGGTATCTTTTGTCCTCCAGCAAGTAACAATGTAGTGCCCAGTAATGATTCTATTTTATAATACAAATATAATAAAAATAAACATTGTGTTAAGCAACATTTGCTTTATATATATATATATATATATATATATATATATATATATATATATATATATATATATATATATATATATATTACTATATTTGTGTTATACACTTGAATCATTACTCCTAACCCTAACACCTAACATATAGTGATGAGGAGGGGTGTGTGATGAGCTGGTAAGTGGAAGCAGTAATGAGTTTAATAGTTGAAACACCAAAAGATTAAGGATAGAAAATTAAGTTGTACCTGCACACTTATACTTTGGACAAATTTTATATTATCAGTGTTCTTTAGTGACTGATGGAGCTTTAAAATCGGCTGCAATTAATGCACACAATAGCATTTAGAAACCCTGAAAAAAAAATTATATTAAAAAATGTAGGTGTGTGTGCGTGAATGTATATATAAGACTGACGTCCTACATCTTAAATTAAAGATATATTTTCCTACAAAAGACAAAGCTGCCACTTATAATATTATACAGAAAAATGTGAGGGTGCAGAAGGAGAGAAAAAACACAAGATCTATAAGTGAGATTCGAACTCGCTCCATTGTGCGCTCCGTTGTTCTTTATCGACGCACTGTCCACTTCGTTATTCCCATGCTCTGAACCATCTGTGTAATGATACGCAGTAATGTATGACCAAGGAACTGTACAAAAGTGTAAAAAACAGTTCAGTGCCAGGCATACTGTACAGGTGGTCCTACTGCCATATTGTACAGTTGCCTAAAATGCCCTGACGTGAATACAAAGAGCTGCACTGAATGTTTTTTATGGTAAGCGCAGACCCGCGGTTTGTCACATTTGATTTCAAAAAGGTTTGTTAAATACATTAACATTATGAATTTGGTTATGAAAAAAACTATGCACTTATAACCCTCTCACAACGAAAAAACTTGTATCTGTGTGTCCACATCCATAAATATTCTCATCAAAAGAGCACGCAATGCTCAGTAAACTCTCTGAAACAGACAAACTCTGAAACATAGCAACTTACTCTGAACATAACCTGCTCCGGAGCAGGTTATCTTCAGAGAGTAAGTTGCTATGGCTACTTAACATACCCAGAAGTTACCTCCGATTTTGGAACCAAAGTTGAGGTTATCCACCTACTTACTCTCAAACTTACCCGTGTATGTCACATAACCTGCTTTCTGGAACAGCCCCCAGAAAACAATGATCCTTCGATCACTATTCTCTTTGTTCTCTTTGAAACTTTGTTCAATCAAGCAATTAATCAGAATCTAAATTAAATGTCTGAGCATTAATCAAAGCCAATTTTATAGGCATTTTGTCAGTAAAGATGATTCCAGTAAACTTCCAGCACATGCTTTTAGATGGAGGTTAGCTGTAGTTTACAGACAAGCTGTGCTAAATGCATTTCAAAAATTCACATCTCAAAAAAACATTGAGATAATCAATATGTAATACTGAAAATAGCATGGTAAATAGTACAATATTAAACTAAAAAAAAAAAAAAATTATATTTTTTGGCCAAACTAACCCTTTAATATATATATTTTTTTGTAATAAAAGGGTTTCCTCCGGTATGACACACATTTGTCAATTTTCACTTTCATAGCTACCCAAATACAGAATCGTGCCATACCATTTTCTAGTACCCTTTTCTAGCATAACAATACAGTACCAAAAGAGTGGAGCTAGCCAGACTCACTGCTGAACGCTGCTATAGGTTAACAAAGAATTGTCACCTCCATGTTGGAATGACAACACAGGAAACTAAATTTTTAAATACACAGTGTAGACATAACACGGCAATAATAACACATTTACACAATATTAAAAATACAACACACCTGCCATGTTTGAATATTTGAAAAAAATTAACTTAAGAGGGTAACTTTTTGTGTTTTTTTTAAATCAACCCTTTCTGATGTACACAAGTGGCAATCTCCCGCTCTTCCTCATAAGCAAACACGAAAGTAACTGAAACTGCAATTCATAGAAATTCCGCTAGACCTGGCTTCATAAAAGAGCAAATTTCTATTGACCCCACTGTTTAAATGGCCAACTTTACAGCAGAAAAAAATGTGATTACAGCCTGGTACAAAGAACGATTTAGATTCATATAACTATTACCCTTCATGAAAACTGTGAGGGGGGTGAATTTTGTTATAACTCGTCCGTTTCGTTTTTATTAAGTCTGCATGATTAAAAGCAGGGCCACTTGAGAGACAGTTAGGTCTTGCTGGTTGCAGTCACGACAACTGATTCCGGTTGATTAGCCGCTGAACTTGGCATATACATCGTATTTTTGTTGTTTCATGTGGCTTCACACATACATTATCAGATAATATGGCATGCTGTGTGTACTTAATTGCGCTCACAACCCATTTATGTGGCCTTTGTTTCCCAGGTGAGAGAAATTATATACTTGTAAACCATCACTATAAATGTATTTGTTTTAAGATCATTTATAATGTTCTTTAGAGCTGTAATGCACTCCGGAATCTGACAGATTGATTAGCTGTAGGCTCTAGAACAGACATCAGAAACGTTTTTATACAAGGTTATGCTTGGATTTTATAAATAGCCTTGTATTTACTAACACAGACAATATTTAATGTGTCTGGAATTAATTTGGGTTTTCCGCCTGTAGAAAAACGTCATGAGACCAATGCTTAGTGACTCAATGTATTACAACAGTGATCTTAACAGTCTCTGCTCAATATTTAAAATCCTCCATAGTCATCATGACAACAAAAACACTGCTGTCACCTCACCAGAAACCCCGCCTCTGCTTTCAAATAATTGGAAAATACATATTAAAAAAAGGAACTGACGCAACACACCTTTTCCGCTCAGAGCGGACTTTTTTAAGCTACAGGAGCACAGCAAGTAATGGCAAAAACGCAGCATGTGGTTAAACTGAGAGGTGCGCATAGGCAGCGCAAAAACACTTGCGAGCGTTAGTAATTCATACAAAAAAAAAAGAAAAGAAAAAGCGCGTAATGTATAATCGGCCGTAAGTGGCAGTGTAAACGCAAGCCTGACCAGGGTAAACGGTACGGAATCATTTTGTACTAAACTGAACCCTCAGTGGAAACAGGTTTGCTCTTTTAAACCCAATTTCTAAGATTCAAAAATAAATAACGAAGCAAATAATTCTCTCTCACCTTTATTCAGTCGTTCCTGCTCTTCTTTTTCTTTCTTAGCCTGAATGGACATCAAGCGTCTACTTTTCACTGTGCTGATCATGTCTTCAGGCTCTGGCTCCTCTTTGGGGAGAACCTTAGGCGTCTCTTTCTTCACGGTGGATTCTTTCTTCTTCTCTGCCTTTATAAGAACATCACCATCAGTTTTGGTCTCCATCTGCTCTTTGCGTTTCTGCTTCTCTGCTCTTTTGCGATCGTTGGCTTCTTTGAGCGTGGCGACCCGCTCTTTCCACATTTCAGCCGATTTCTGATGCACCGCCTCCACGTGATCCTCCACCGAATAGGTCATGAGGATACGATGACACAGAGCCAACAGCAGACTGACCTTCTCCTGGGGGTCCAGTTCGAACACCTCTGCCGTCTCCAGCTTCTCCAAGAACTCACTGCTCACCATGTCATCAAAGTCCGCGCCAGACTGCCAATCATCAGAGCCACGGGCACTTTCTTCCTCATGTGCATCTGATGGACGCAAACACAAGCGCACCAGCTCTGATACGGAGTGCATGGTGAGAGGAATCTCAGAGAGCGGCATGTCTAGCTCACTGTAACCTTCTGCCAGCTCATCTTGCAGAAGTGTTTGCAGTAAAACCACCAACACACGGTTCAAGTAGAGGAATCCAGCCTTTTCTCCAGCGAGAGCCTCCAAGAGCGCAATGGAGGTGATGGGATACTGGTCGTCAGGCATCAGCAGGCCGGAGTAGCAATGAAGGAACTCCACTACCATGGCTACGTCTCCAAAGATGGTGTTGGGAAGGCCCTCTGGCATGTCAAAAAGACGGAAAGCTGGTAAGTTCTTGCCTTCAAGCTCCTGGTCTTCATACCGTCGAGACATCTCTCGCCTCACCTGCATCTCCTTCTCTCTCCGCTCTTTAGCTTTCTCACGCAGCTTCTGCTTGACCTCCTGACGTTTCTGCTTCAGCACGCTCTGTTTTTCCTCCTCGCTCATGAGGGCCCATCGGCGTTTCTGCTCAAGAAGTTCCCAGCGCTTCTGCACCAGCTCTTTCAGCTCCTCAGGAAGTCGTGAGCGATCTTCTGGGGACAGCGCTTTCGCTGCTTTAGACAACAGCGAGGAGAGAGTGGTCTTCTTGTCTTCTTTGCCTTTATTCTCTTTGTAAAACCGAAGGAGATGTAAGGCCATGGGCGGAAAAGGTTTGCCCAGCTTAGCAGAGCCAGTAGTTGAGCTTCGCCTTTGCTTTTTTGGGCTACCTGCAGCAGCTGGGCTTTTAGCAAGATCCAAAAGGGTCATCTGCTTCATTCTGGGTTTCTTGGCGCCTCCGAGACTTTTATCCTCCTTTTTAGAGAGCCTCTGACTATTGGGAGTCTTGTTGAGTCCACTTTTGCGTCTTCTTTTGGGGTCAGAGGACTTTTTATCTCCCTGCTTCTTACTAGATTTTGGAGTGCCGAGGACGTTTTCCTCGTCCGATTTCTTAGATGTACCTGAGTTTTTCATTTTTAAAGGTGATCCGTTAACTTTCTTCACCTAAATTAAAGAAACAAAAAAATTAAATGGCCAGTCTGGTTAAATAAAAGATGTACTGTCATCTACAAATCATCTCTCGGACAAATATATGATACATACAATGCCAACCTAGTCAATTGAATTTAGGAATATATATATTTAAGTTATACTTAAAGTCGTGAAAACCAATACCACTTTTTTCAGAACAAGTTTGATACTATATACTCACAGATGAGAGCAATACCTGGTTCTTAATCCCTAATTAACACTGGAACTACCAGAATTCTATAATTACTAGAATTACCACAGAAATCATTCTGATTGTTCTCATACAAGATGTCATATAGTCGCCATATTTACATTTAACACTTCTATTGAGAGATTAAAATAAGGTTTGAATTTCTGTCATATTTAATGAAGTAATTACCCTAAAAATAAGATCTTTTTGTAATACAGTGCCAATACGGCCAGCTTATGCATGTGTAGTTAGGCTACTTGACCACCCGCGAATGTCTGCACCATGCTTTTATTTTCACAAGCAGGGTAGAAGACCTTTTTGCAGCACTAAATACGCTGTTTTGAAGTTAGATTTATGTTAGCATGAAGTTCTGAGGCAACAGATATGCATATTTAAAGCTACATGAAAAAGTAAGTTCATTGGGAAATGCGATAATTTTCACTCCCATCATAGTTCAAGGTAGAAATACGCTAAAAATTTAGAAAATTACAACATTAGAAAGAAATACACACATATTTAGGAAAGGGCAGGGTATCGTAGATTTGTGGGTTTTATTTTGACAAAGCAATTAAATTATAAAAATGTAAAAACTAAAAAAGTTAAAATGAGTACCTCGGTAGTTCTAGTGTTTAATGCCATGATCACTTAATCAGTAGCATTTAAACCAGAATGTGGACGTCTTACGAAAACACACTGACATGAGCATTTTATGAGACTTTTGTCATGCACTTGCATGATTCTTTTTGCTGCATCATGGTGAAACATACCTGCATGTGACTCCAGATGGTTGGGCTGAGAGGTATGTTCTGAGAGTCTTTGTTTTTCTTCTTGTCCCCTTTTGCTCCCTCACCGCCTGTTCCTGTCTCCACATTCTTCAGCCTCTTCCTGGGTTTTCCTTCCGGCGAACTCAAGCTTTTCCTCTTAGTGGATGGATTTTCCGCCAAAAACTAAACAAACATAAATTATAATACAATATAATGTACTGTGAAAAAGATTTTAATTCCTCTTAAACCATCTCACCTTGTGAGGATCCAGTAAAAAGTCACTGAATTTGCTCGGCAGGCTGAACTTCTTCACCAACTCATCCTCCACCACCCAGGGGGCGCTCTCTCCTGAGCCCAGCCTCAGTGCGTAGTGTCGGATGAAGTAGCGCATGATTTCTTTGTTGGGAGGCCGCTCTGTTCTGAACAGGTTGTCTGCAGGAACATCACTGATCACTTTGTCCTCGTTGACAAGTTTGACATCATACTTATGTGGCAGAAATTTCGGCATGACCCATTTCTTCTTCTCCTCTTTCATAGTGGTCGGGAGTTTCCTCGGTGAGCGGCGGGCCCTATCAGCTACAAAAATATATACATTTACAAAGAAAAAAAGTATTACCATTAAATTCTTCATTTAATTGAAACCGCTAGGATTTCACTCATATTTTGACTAAAAGACTCACAGAGACTTTCTCTCCTGCTCTCCTCCTCTTTGGACTGTGGCTCCTTCTTTAGGTTCTCCTGACTGGCGTTCTCTTTATCGCTGGATGGAGAGTCACAAGCTCCTTCCATTTTTTTTTCAGCATTTTCTTCTGGAGGATTTTCCAGCGGATGAATCTTTACCACTTCCACACTCAAAGTTTTATCATTGCCAACCTTAAAGTACAGTAAAGTAAAATATGATCACAAAGAAGTTTATTTTGTTTGACACACCTACATGATAAAGCAATTTTTTATTAACATACATTGTTACAACTAATTCTAACAACACTAGAATTAAGCTTGAGTACATAAAACCCCTAAGAAATATATATATATATATATATTTAGTTAAAGTTGTCTTCGAATTTACCAAGTAAACCAATTTTAATTTAAATTTGTACATTCCAATAGACAAAAATCCAAGTTCATACCATTAAGTCACACTTCTCGCCCACAGCATACTTCGTGAGAATCTCCACCCAGACCTGATCCACTAGCTTATCTAGAGGTACTGTGTTATGATGCACAATCTCCAGAACAGGCTTCTCAAACCACACTGGATACTCCTCCTGAAGCCTGCCGGAAAAAAAGGAGGGAGAAACCATTCAGTATTCGACAACATAAGCAAGTCATTCACTTACTTTGACTTTCAAACGTTATGAACACATCTGTTTCTTCTGTTATGAACACAAATGATTTTCAAGATGAAGAAAACATGGATGGAATTGCAGGCAATCATGATGTTTTTGTCTGTTTCTGGAGGCATGAACAAACTCTTCAGACTCATTTCATATGCATTTGACCTTTTTAATTGAGAAATTGTCATTACTTCATGTATAGCCAGAAACTCTAACCTCTCGAAACATTGTGTACTATATTACTGTGGAACATGCTTTAAAACGGTAATCCTTTACCTTTACCAATAACCTAAACCTTTACCAGGGTATTTGAAGGGATTAGATGCGAAAATTAATACCTTTTAAGACCGCATAATACCTACATTAAGACCGCATATGCACTTTAGGTTTCAAGCAGGAACATTGGCGACATTAACCTACAATATATTTACTAAATACTAATTATAGGAAACAAATCCTAATCTAAATCATTGATATACTGAATAAAAATGCTAATCCAGCAGGAGGTGCCAACAGAACTGTTGAAATAACGGTGTTGTCTTGGGTAACACAGTAAAGATGCCAAATTTATCAGGATTTTATCTAGTTCACAAACTATAATCAAAATATGATATTAAATTAAATACCTTGTACAATAACATCTGCCAATTTTTTATGCATAGGGCCTTGTATTTCTCTAAATTGATTTATCAACTTTGAATACTTTAAGACACTGCAGAATGTTTACAAATGTCAATGTTTACAAACGTGTTTAACGGTCATCATAGTCTTAAATCCTTTAAAGTTTTTAATATTTAGATTTTTAAAAAACAAGCATTTATGAATGTATTATATCATCTTTGTATCAAATTACAAAATTACCGCTTATGCGAGGTGTTTTATGCAGCATTTATGGGGCTAAGAGTAAATTTTACGTTATTCTCTTTCTCTGGCTGTGGTTATCAGTCTCACACTATTTTATTTTTTTTTCCTGAAAGTCTTGATAACACCATTGTGGAGTTTTTCTTTTATTATTTCAGCAAATAGGGTTGTAAAAAAAAAAAGTATTTGTTGTACTCTCCCATTCTCTGCACTCTAAGTTTACCCAACTATGTTGTCTTCCACTACTGAAAAACCTGGAAATGTGAAAAGGGTCTATAATTAAATAATTCTTATTTTGTGTTTAAATATATATATATATTTATATTTATTTATTTATTTATTTTTTACATAAAAATTTTCTATTTATCTATCTACAAATAAAATTTAATTGACACAATTACAGTAACTGTTAAATCTTAATATATACATTTTAGCTTTTCAGCTACTAATATTAACCTTATTAATTGATCAGAAATACTCATTTTAATTATTTTAAATAAGCAAAAGAAAAATCTACTTGAACACATTAAAAAGTTTTTTTTTCTTTATTTGTTCAGTTTTTTTACTGTTAATTTTGAAGAGTTGTCCCTGTCAAATAAAAAAAGGACTAAAAACCACAAATACCTAGCCACAAATATCTAAAAACTAAAAAATTCCTATAAGTAAAAATAAAAGGTTTATCTGCTATTGACTTCAAAGTTTCTGCTGTCATATTTATCAATATGCCAACAACTTATGTTCATAATATTGGTGTTCATTTCTGTTATTCTGAGGTCCGTTCTTCGTATGAAGATTACTCAATTAGCTCACCAAGAGGTTCAATAAAAACCTTTCTGAACTTTTTAGATACAGACGCGAACTATTTTACGGTACGTTAGTACAATTTGTGTATGATAATAACCATGACCAATATTATCGTGTTTTTTTTGAAGGAATAATTTTGACCTTTACCAATATCAAAATGCTTTTTTGATGCAAAATAACTTAAACAGCCATTTATTAAGAAACTGATAACAGGCCTACTATAATAAAAGGAAATCCGCTACAAAAATAAAAGTAAATAAATTGTTGTAGTAGGGCTGTGCGATTTGGGGAAAATATCTAATTGCATTTTTTTGACAGATATTGTGATTTGATACACAATTTAATTTTGTTGTCAAACTTTAGCTCAATAATCGCAACAATTCTGCGACAGGTCTTAAAAATGTCCTGTTTTTGTACGGTGTCTGTAACTTCGAAACCAAAATATTTTCATATAACCAGTGCTGCTTTTCTTTAATAATAATTCAACATTATCTCCCCACTTGTCCACAGTTTCCTGTTTGTTTTGTTTTCTTGTTTTTGTTGTGGGCGTTCCGCATAGATCAGCAGTATAATTCTGATTGGGCAGAAGGAAGTGGGCTCACTCAATTGGCTAGTAAGACTGTCACATGCAGAAGATGGCAGTCATGCATTGGCTCTAGGCAGGGGAAATTAAATAATATGAACGTTATGTAATTTTGTTCACATGGATTATTGAATATTAATCAGATGATGTCATTACGCTGCTGTGCCGTCAGCCAGTCGTTACATCGCTGATCATGATTGAGGATTGATAGATCTGTCCTTCACAACACACAGTGATCTCAGATCAGTTCATCCAGACATTTTAATCTGATATGCAAAATTGTTTAAAGAACCAAATTAATCAGAGATCAGTTATCAAGATTAAAATATTCAGGATCTGCCAAATCATTTTAAATAATTTAAGCGAGGTATGAAGAACAGACCACAGCTCTACTAAAAACAAAACAATTTGATTCTCTTCATGCCCAGCAGAGGGAGATGAGAAACACAGGGGTGAAGAATGAACTGTAAAAATAGCTTCAAAAACACTGTGACCCTCTATATGGCCTGTACTGCAAACACATCTCCGAGTGTACATGTGCCTGGTTACATAAGCAGCTTACAAGCTCAACTGTTTTCTCTGTCCCTCACACCCACATGGAAAGCCATTTGCACATCAGTTGAGAGGTCACAAAGCGTCTCCTTGACCTTCACTGCAGGTCACAGCAGATGAGTCGCTCATACAAACAAACGTGTTAGAAGTGGGCATGATACAATTCTATGAATCAGTTCAAACTGCTTGTTTTTTTCTAACCAATTCTCACATGACAATTTCCGCAAAATATTATGGCATGCAACTGAGTTTTAATAATGGCAGGTATTTCATGACCGTGAACCAGTGTTGTACTTCAGAATAAATTAGACACTATTATGATCACTGTAATATATTGAGTTGATTTTATGGAACAGAAATACCCAAGGTAATACAAGCAATAATAATAGCAAAATAATACAAATAATTATAATAATAAAAGGGAAACAAATAATAAGAACATTAAAAACTACTGGAAATAAAATAATAATATTAATAATAAAAGGGAAACAAATAAAAATAGTAATAATAATAACAATAATAATAATAATAATAATAATATCAAAAACTACATGAAAACAAAATAATAACAATAGGGAAAAATAATAATAATAATTATTACAAAAATAATGAAAGAAAAACTAAAATAGTAAATAATAATAATAATATAAAAAACTACAGGAAACAAAATAATAACAATGGGAAACAAAAAATAATTATTTTAAATACACAATAAAAAAGAAACAAATATCAAAAACTACTGTAAACAAATATTTATAATGACAATAGAAATAAAATGGAATCAATAATATTAAAAACTACTGTAAACAATAATAATAAAAGGGAAACAAATAATAATAATAATAATAATAATATTAAAAACTACTAGAAACAAAATAAAGGGAAACAAATAAAAAAGGAAACAAATATAAAAAACTACTGTAGATAAATATTAGTAATAATAATAATATTAAAAGGGAAACAATAATATTAATAATAATATATTAGAAACTACTGTAAACGCATAGTAATATTATAATACAATAATGATAAAATGGAAACCAGTAATAATTAAAATAATAATAATAATAATAATAATATCAAAAACTACTGGAAACAATTGATAATAATAATCAAAACTACTGCAAACTAAAAATTTAAATAAGTAACATTTTGAATTGGACTTCATTCGCCTTAAAGTAAACAGTAAATAACAACCTAACAAAAGTCTCTAATGGCAATAGCAAAATGTTAAATTACAATACATGTCAGCATCGAGAAGGTGGTTAAATCACAAAAATTGCCTGAATAATGACTGCATAAATGACCCTTTTCATCAGTAAAGTTCAATATTTTAAAAAATTCTTGTAGATCTTCTAGATTTTTGTAACTTAGTTAAATAATAGCTAAATTATATTTACAAAATATAAAAATAGCAATTAGATGCACTTCCCCAAATTGTTTTGCATTATAGCAATGAAATAATTCACATGGTTACAAGGTTAGTAAAAATATTTATGCAAGGTAAACTCTCACGTGATAAACAATATAGATTACAGAAAACGATCTTAATCGCAAAAACAGATCAAATTTACAAACATTGTATAAAAAACACCTTTCTATTATAAAACCATCAACAATATACAGACAACAAATACATTATACTAACAGATAAAAACATTACATTAAAAAAATTACATAAAAAGACTACATTGCACAATACATCAAGTTTACTTTTTGTTTTGTTTTTTAGATTTACTTTTGATAAAAATATATCATATACCATATTTGAAGGGTTCACATTTAAAAAATCCCTCTCCAGATTAGAGCTGCACAATATAATGTTTCAGCACTGATATCACAACGTGTGCATTCGCAATAGTCACATCGATAAGATATCCAAAATCTAGTCTGAATTATATTTGACCGAACTGTATTTAATCACTGTATTTATATAAAATGTATACGATTCATGCAAAAAAAAATTATCTTGCTAAGAATTTTGTCTTGTTTCTAGTCCAAATATCTACATTTCAAAGTAAAAATAAGATTATTTTAATTTGAATGATTACAGCAATGGAAAAAAAAATTCTCTAAAACAAGCAAAAAAACAAACCTCTTAATTTTCAACTATTTCTTCTGACGGTAAACAAAAAAAACTAAAAAATTTTTACTTGGTCTAAGAATTATTTTGAAGAAAGTAAGAAAATATTTTTTGCTTGCATTGTGATTTTTCAATTTCTCTACATGAATACTGTAAGACTCCCCAGAAAACTATGAAATCGTGCTATTCAACTATCTTCTAAAACTGTATTCATATCACAATAATTAATAGCAGAAAAATAAAACATCGCAATATCAGATTTTTCCAATATAGTGCAGCCCTACTCCAGATACAAAAATTATAACCCTGCTATGAACTCTGACTCTAGTTATTTTTGAGATATGGCAACTGCCTAAAAAAGCTGCCAAATCAACATTTCTGTTGTTCAGATATACAGAAATACAAGGTAAGCATTGACGCTGACAACACTTTAAGAGTAAGGCTCAGTATATCTCTAAAAACAGATGAATCGACAGTCCGAAAGAGACTTTGAGATGAACGGAATGGATAAGGACTGGTGACTAAATGATGCTACATTTGCTTGTTTTCAGTACTTACAGCTCCGTGACCTCCTGCTCCTCTTCCCAAGCCTCCTTATGCGTGAGCTGACTGCTGCCAGTGCTTTTACATGTCCAGATCCGCTCTCCATACCTGCGCAGCCGAGCTTCATACTCTCTGAGCAAAAGTATTAAGGAGAAACTGCCAAAACTACATCACATCCAGCTCTTCTGAAACTTCTAAGCAGCAAACAGTTTTTAAAGTAGAGTTGATCAAGTGGCGCCATGAGTGTTCTCTACAAGACAGACTCATTCATAATTAAACGCACGCATGAAGCAAAGCCGCTTAATAATTAAATGGCCAGCAGATCACACATAAACACATCATAAAGAACGGCTGACAAATACAGAAGAGCTTCAGTAAAGCATTTATTAGAGAGTGAAACCATTTTAGAGGAAAATCAACAGTTAGGGTTCATTTTGCATTGGTCATGTGTTATGAAAAAGTGAAGCAAGTCACCGAAAGGAATAACAAAAATAGCATGTAGCATTATATTCATATCAATCAAGACAATCAGTTTCCTTAATGTGTTAGTTAATAACAACAATTTTCTTAATTAACAAGAATTCTCTTAATTTTAGCCCTCATTTATAAAGAAATAGGCACGGAATATTGCTTTTATATATTATAAAATACATATTACGGCTGCACAATATATCATTTCAGCATTGAAATCACAATGTGTGCATCCACTTTAGTCACACTGTAGGATACGCAATGTTCAGTTGGGATTATAGTTGATCAACAACTGAGCAATCATGAGATTTGTGGCGTCATAGCAAAGTAAAACCATAACAGAGTGAAACTTTACCATTCGCATGTGTTTTAAAGGCATTTCAGGAAAGTGTAAAGCATTCGGCACAATAACGTACAACATTTGTAGCTCTAATGAAGAATAATATTACTGAATAATTAATACAATAACGATACGGTTTTGTTTTACATTTAGTTATTCAATTTTTATGCCTGAATAATGTTTGACTCTTCCGAAAACCATAAAGGACTCTTTATTTGACTTTTTTCTTAGCTCTTTTGTAACTATTTTGCTTGCGATAAATTTTTTATTATTACATATTAATATATTTTTTAGAATATTTTATTTTAAATATTTATAATGAACAATAAATGAAAATAATTTGCATACATGATTCGCACCCTTAGAAAAATCACCCCAATCTATCTAAATGAACTTATTTTTTACTATCACTATCCTTTGACACTTTTTTGTATCTGCCCAATATAACCAAACACCCGCAATCAATTAAGTAGTGGAAAATCTTCTCGTTTATCCGTTTTGTAGCTTTGTGCAGGACACCTGCAACACTCCCATAGACTCGTGTGCTCTGCAGAGACCCAAAGAAATATGCCTTTTTAATGCGCTAAAGTTTTAAATCTCCTAAAATGTCCAGGATTTGTTTTTGCTTTCCCTTTCTAAAGCTGTCGTCAAATGTATGCGCACAGCCATGAGAGAAACATATTTAATGATTAAATTTAAATTCATTTTTTGGTCCAACTTTATATTAAGTGTCCTTAACTACTATGTACTTGCATTAAAAAAGAAATACAATGTACTTACTGTGTTTATAATGTATTTGAGAACACTTGTGGTGCTTTTGAGTTGGGACAGAGGTTGAGTTATGGACAGGTTTGGTGGTATGGGTAGGTTTAATGGTGGGTTAAGGTGTGAGGGATGGTCAACAGTGTATTTACAAATGTAATTACAAAAGTTAATTACAGATGTAATTACATACATGTATTTAATCAAGCATAAGTACACAGTAAATACATGTACTTACACAAGTACATTGTAACAAAATATGAATTCCTATGTAAGTACATATTAGTTAAGGCCACTTAATATAAAGTGGGACCCATTTTTTAATATAAACGACTTTACTAAAAACTTTACTAAACAGTTGGAAAGGACGAAATTAGATCTAAATTGGCTGCACAGCAAAACATTTGTACACCATTACAAACGGCTAAACAACTCATTTACCTCATTGAAATCTACACGTTTTATTATTGTAATTATTATAATTTTTAGAGACATTTTCTGTTTTCATCCCTTTATTTTTTTCTCAATTGCTGTATATTTTATTAGATTGATGTTAATATACTGCATATTTTATACATCTAAAAAGTTGACAATACTGTACAAACTTAAACTTGAATGACAGCTAACATTAGAGAAAAGCAGATTTACCTGTCAGTGAGTGCACATGGCTCCTGAATAGCATAAGAGACACTAGAAATAAAGTTTTTCAAAAGAAACAGTGTATAACAGTTTCTTAATACATTAAAATATTGTTAACAATCAAATTGGTTTGTTTGTTGCATATAGTTAACTATTTATGTGATGTGCGGATAAAAAGTATATTTCAGTCCAGCTACCACCACATGTACAGTTGAAATCAGAATTATTAGCCCTCCTTTGAATTTTATTTTTTTTTATATTTTCCAAATTATGTTTAGAGCAAGAACATTTTCACAGCATGTCTGATATTTTTTTTCATCTGAAGAAAGTCTTATGCATTTTATTTTGGCTGGAATAAAAGCACTTTTATATGATTAAAAAAAATTTAAGGTCAAAATTATTAGCCCCTTTAAGCTGTATTAACTTCGATAGTCTACAGAACAAACCATCACTATACCTTGCCTAATTACCCTAACCTGCCTAGTTAACCTAATTAACCTAGTTAAGTCTTTAAATGTCACTTTAAGCTGTATAGAAGTGTCTTGAAAAATATCTAGAAGTATTATTTACTGTGATCATGACAAAGATAAAATAAAGCAGTGATTACAAATTAGTTATTAAAACTATGGTTTAAAAATGTGTAGAAGAAATCTCTCCATTTAACAAAAATGGGGAAAAAATAAACAAGGGGGCTAATAATTCTGACTTCAACTGTATATTTCAAACATGTGTGAAGCACTGATATATATATATATATATATATATATATATATATATATATATATATATATATATATATATATATATATTTATATATAAAATTATAGTAAATAGTATAGTAATCATCATTTGTTAAAAACCATTTGTTTACTTCCTTACTATATTCTACCACTGCATCTAATAAAATATAACATGACAATTCTTATGATGCTGGATACAGACCTAAATAACAGACTTAAATTGTGAACGTTGGGACAACTTCTAGTTTGACAATAACCCTACTTAAAATGGCCCTACTGGAAGCAAGCGATAAAATCTGTACCAATGCAACGAGTCTGGTAGTTTCCCCATTAGTAAACCTTGCACTGCAGCTCCTCCAATCTCAAATCGCTTCATCCTTTGATCAAAGCCCCGCCCCCCACACACGTCGGCCAACTAGATGCTATCAAACGAAACAGAGGAGAGTGATTGACATACCGATCGCGCTTCTTATTGGCTAGCGTTCTGATTGTATAACACATGCGGCCTGGGGTCACTTTCTTTTTTTAATACAGTTTTACAGAGACAGGTGTGAGAGGTCAAGAATCCTACATCAATGTCAGATAAGAGATGCTCGAGTTAACATAGCGCACTCTCACAACAACAACTAATGCTTCTCAATGGAATAACAAGGCTTATTTACAAAAAACACCAAATAGCTAAAAACAAATGAAGGAATTTAACAGAATCACGTGACTGACAAATGTAAGAGCCGCACGCCCTAAACTTCAGCTTCACGCATCCTGTCAATTGTGAAAACTTCACGTGGCGCGCGCGAAAAGCATCCCGCGCGCAAATGACCTCGCGCAGCAGCTGCACATGAACTCGCACATATTGTTCTCCAGCAGAAGCTTGAGCTAAAACTGAACGCACAAGCATAAGCAAGCATACATATAACGACTCCAGTCTAACTGTACAGAACCAATAATCTAGGAGCCCATGCTTTAAATAAAATCCCTAAACTTAAAGTGATAGCGCGCGCGCGCCTCTTACACAAGATTGAGTCATGGATGAGCAGACGTCACACACACTATGCGTCCTGCAGCTAGCAAGCTAACAACACACTGACTCTCTAAAAACACACACGACAACAAAACAACCGCTTAAATGACACTAACTTAACCCAGAAACCCTCACAAAACTAACATTAACGCCAATTTTAAGAGTCCAACCTCAAGTTATAAACGTCAGAGTCACCTTTAGCCGGCTAGCGTTACAATGAGATGCAGCGCGCAAAATGAAAACAACAATAAACGCCTAAATCCACACACTGCGCACGCACGCGCCCGGAATCCACGATTTGCTTGGAAACCGCGGACCGAGACTCTAACGGGCACGTGCTTGTTTGTTCTGTGCATGCAAACGATGAGTGGAGACAGTAAGAAAGGATACTCTTTGTTCCTGAAGGCCTCTTTAGTGTGCTCGATGGTGTACACCTCCTCTCCTGGGCCCGGCGGCTCCGACAGCGGCTTAACCAACGGGTAGGGCTTCCGGCCTAGTAACGGTGCCATCGCGGGGTCCTGAATGTATCAGCGAAGCGTAGTACTGAACTAACCCACCTCTCAATCCCAGCTCCAAATGAATATGCGGTGAAATTCGCGCGTCTCAGCGGCGTAGCATCGGGGCTAGGCTAGCGCGCGGTGCTTTCGGTACTTTCAGAAAGCGCGTAAAAGTCAAAACAAAACAGAAACAAAACTGCGGTTTGACTGGTCAATTACATCCCTGTGTTAAATCCGCTGGTTTCGTGGAGCCGGTGGGGTCATGGCGAAACGCCTGGAAAGCGCGTATGGAGTGAACGGAAGCTCCCGGATGCCGGGTATTGAAGCGCGAAAGGCCGCCCGTCAGAGCTGCTGTGACAGGCTCACTTGTGCCGCTCAGGTCCGGGTTGCGGTCGATCCTCCAGGCCAAAGCAACGTACCAATCCCTCGTCCGTGGCGACTATAGACAGCGTAAACGGTGTTTTGAAGGATGTGCTGATTACATAAACAAACAAGAGGGTTTTATCGCTGGTTGAAAAATGGCGGGAGATCCTGCTACACCGGCAACATTCCGTGCAACCTCAAAACTCCGTTACCCCGGTAGCAAGCAGCGTCGCAAGATTAAACCCCGCCCTCCAAATGCAGCTATTGGTTAATAAAAAACTACGACACAGACTTCGATATTTTGATTGGTGGACTGAGTTGTCTATTACATCTACTCTACCTTTTGTCAAAGCAACACCCCTCCAATCACAAATACAAGAAGTGTTTGGAAGCGTGGCTACTAAAGGTCAGTTTATGGTAGATTTGTCCATAACTAAATTAATAATGACAGGTTTTAGTTTGACTTGTACAGTTTATCAGTAAAACCTGACGCTTTACATGGCCAAATGCCAAGCGTTCAGCCAAAAGGTGAATTGATTATAGAAATTAAATGGAGACAATAGGGCATGCACACGACACGTTTGATCCAATTAAAGAGACAGTCTTCATTAATATATTAAAGACACTTATAATAGTAGAGAGTATAAAGATATTGCAATATTTTTTTATTTTTAAAGCCACGTGAAATGTAATGTGTGATCTTATAATTAATATAAAATATTAAATAAACATTACATTAGGTTGGTGGTTCATTACACTGTGGTGACCCCTGATGAATAAAGGGACTAAGCCGAAGGAAAATGAATTATATTCAGATAAATAACATTAGTATTACAGAAATAAATAAATACAATTTTATAAAAAAAATAATCGTTTTAATCTATTAGTTAAAAATAATAAATATATGTAATATAAAACATTATGATTGAAAAAAATAGATTAAAACAAATTATTTTACAATTTAAAAAAATAAAAATGTTCATGTAATAATAAACGTGATAATACATGAATAAATAAATTGCTTACATGGAATAAAGATTATATATTCTGCAAAAATATTTAAAACCCATTAATCATTTGCAGTAGTCTTTTATAACAGATTTAAAGGGGACTTATGCAAAAAAAAAAAAAAAGGGGGTTTAAACAGTTATGTAGCAACAGTGTGAATATAGCCAGCCTCTTGTTTTTGAATATGCCACTATGCTAACACATAGGCATTTGTAGCTCCGCCCTCATTTGAAAAAGAGCAAAGATCTCATTTGAATTTAAAGCGACAGTTACCGAATAGGCACAATTAGGATCAAAGCCTAAAAGGGTCAGTTTCAAAGGGTTATAAAACATTATTTGTGTGGTATTTTGTGCTAAAACTTACATACTCATACATACTCAAGTGACTACTTATGACTACTATTGTTATAGAAATGTCATACATTTTGTACACTTCAGTGATTAATTTTAATTTGTGGAGTATTCTTGTAACACCATTGCCAAAAACGCAATCACAGTAATGCCAAATTAAACCAAAGTTGTTTTATTTTCATATCTTCTGCGAACAAGTCCAACTTTACAGACAACACTGCATGAATAATACACTTTTTTTTTTCATCTGAAAAATACTTACAATGTAAAATGGAAGTCTTTATATTCAAAATACAAATCTGACATGTATAAAAGCTATGCATTCCCTTTTTTGTTTTTAATAAAATGTTCAGTAATTGGATGCAATACAACAAACATTAAAAATAAAAATCAAGAAATTGTTGACGCGGATGTCATTTAGAACTGCCCTAAATTGCATGCGTTGAACTATTATTCAGAAAAGCTAAGTAAAACAAAGCAATAAAAGTCATTTGTATAATGTCAAAGCTATCACAAACACAAAACAAATTCAGCTAAAACTCTACTGTTTTGTAATACTGTTAAACCAATCATCACTCCATGCAGACACGTGTATTATCCTGACCAAGTTCATTCTCAGTTCAGAATAACAGTTTTCATGATGTATTTATTACAAACTGCTTTACCTTCATAAGAAATACCCGAAGTAAAGTCTTTTAAATTGTACAAAACACAACATTTCAAGCTTGTTTAATGATCATAAATTGTAAGCGGATATCAGGCATTTGGCTGGTTGTAAAATGTCTCTTAAATTTGCAGTTCTGCTTTAAAAAAGTCTTCTGTAGTCTTGATGTGCAATGTTCAGCATATCTGTGTTAACTGACGGTTGAGTTATGCTCAGTGCAAACTCTTTTAAGCGGTGGAGCTCCGATTGCCTCCTCTTCCTCCTGTGAAAATCAATAATGTTGTTTGAAAAGCATTCATTTAGCAAGTGTAACGTTTTTATAGAAATACGATAATATTTTGTAATTCTCATTTAAATCTGACAAAGTTTTAAAGGATTTGTCAAAAATCTCTGCAAAATATTTTGGTTTCAAACAGTGGTCGCGTTAACTGAATATTTTCCGTCATTGACGGATTTTTTTCAGCAGTAACGGAAAAACCTGAAGGTAATCCATAATTTTGACGGATTAAGGCTGATTTGTAATTCTGCGTCAAACGCCGGCGTATGCTACGGCGCTGACGCATAGCCCTTCGACGTGGCCGTCGCTGACGTGCACCTCTCAAAAAATGTAACTACATGTCGCAACAACGCGTAGCGCAAGCTCTGTGACCGGTCGGCTTGGTAGTGCTGACGAGGCGGGACCGAGAGCCTGTGAATGGTGCGAGCCTGATGGAGCGATTGTTTACAAGTGTGGAGTCTCGTGAAGGAGCTCCGGATGGAAAGTTTTGTTTTGTGTTTACCTCATAGTTAAAGTTGTTAAAGTTCCGCCGGTTCCTGCCTCAAAATGAGCAAGTTTGAGCCACTTGTACATCCCGGAAGTGTTCAGGAAAAGCAAAACAGAAGCGAAGAAACTCGACACAGAGGAACATTAACACCTCACAGCCAACTAGCGTTTTGGAAGTGTTAATGCAGACCAACAGAGACAGCGTGCAGAAGTATAAATGCACAGCTATGATTACGCCGGTCACTTGACGCAGAAGTATAAACCAGGCTTTATGCTGAGGGTGATCTATTGTAATTTGTAGCTAACTGTAATTCCCACTCTTGTCCAGCTGATGGCGATTATCCTTGTTTTGTCTCCTCTTTGTCATCGCTGCGTACAGTTGCAAAAATGTGTGTGAGAAGTTTCTTTAAACGGCCAAATAGATGTGATATTAATAATAAAGGGAAAAAAGAGGAAGTGATGCTGTGGACGATGAAGAACAAACAGACAAAAATCCTCAGTCGCCGACAGGTGTTACGAGCCAACCCAGCGGCAGCAAGGAGGTCAGGTGTTTTGGAGTGCGTTGTGAGCACTACCGAATGCAGAGGGGTGCAGAAGAAGCGCGAATTAAATGATGATCAATAATAGATTATGACGGAAATTTTACAACCCTCTCCGTCAAAATGACGGACTATGAGAAAGTCTAACGCGACCTCTGGTTTTAAATCAAAATACTGTTATGAAACAAGACACTGGGGTGTATTCCAAAAAGCAAGGTTAAAGGCACTGCGAAGTGCTTAAAATGTGCATTTTTATTCAGTGTTTGATCTAATAGTGTAGATGTTGTAGGTGTTGATCTAATAGGACTTTTAATTTGCCAGTATCTGGGTTAAGTGCTTCCTGCGAACTGTATGACAATGCAAAAACCGGCGCGTTTAAGGGCTGTTTTCTTTAAAAATCAGTGATCTCCACTAGCTGAGTGATATCCGATATATAGTGGGTCTCAGATTGTACAAGAAGCACTGCATTAAATAACATTTTCCCCGGCCATGTCTTTATAATATGAGCATTTATTTTACCCTGATATATTCAATGGAGCTTCTGAGCTAGCCTGCCGATTTTGACCGCGCGTGCGAATAAACGGCTTTTTGTATCGTTTTACGCTTGAGCAACAAAATTAACGCCAAAGTTTATTTAACCGAATGTATTTTAATGACATTACCACATCAATGCTGTAAAAGGAACTGTATAAAATGGAAAAAAACCTCACAATAACAGGTCACCGGAAGTTTATCAGTATGGGAAAAACTCAACCGAAACATAAAGAGAGGGTGGGACATAGAGTAGTTCCTCCTCTTTACAAACAGCCAGTAGCGTTTTGTTTCATCACAGCTCTGTCAGTGAGAATGGTTGAGATCAATTGTTTCAAATGAAACTAAATGAAAAGTGACTTGAAGGGGGCGGGACATGTCAGATAGCATTTGATTGGTCAATATTTGATGAAAAAACCAGGAGTGGTTCTGGAACTGACATATCTACATATTTGAGGTAGATCGGTTCCAAAAGCACTCCAAAGTGCACTCATAAGAAAACATTCTTTTGGGCCATTTTACACACATACTGCATAAAGTATTTTATATTTTTCCTAACATAGTTTGGTATAAAACGAATCCTGAAACAATTTAACATATAAACAAAAATATCACTTTTCACGATTGTTAATTTAAAATTGTCTTACGCTGTATACAATGTAATGTACAATGTACAAATCCTAAAATTACTTAATCTTCACAGGTGGATATATTTATAATCTATTTTAATTTTCACAATTCAGGAAAACATAATTCCGTGTGTCTGTCAGATAAATCACACCTAAATCAACCCTTACATTTATCCCAACTCACATTACCTGAGTAGAGAGAGACAGCACGTCTTCTTTAATGAGTGTTGGAGGCTCATCTGTCACCTCACTGCTGGTCGTTGAAGCCTCTAAATATGGATTTGATCATGAAAATAAAAGTAAAGGAAGCACAATCATTATTATCTTACATACTTGGAAAAATCTCTATTTTCATCCAACAAAAATTATATATATTATATATATATATATAAAAAAGCATCATTTAATTTTTAATTATATATATATATATATATATATATATATATATATATATATATATATATATATATATATATATATATATTTAATTAAAAATTAAATGATGCTTTTTTTATGAAGTACATTTTACTAGGGATTTAGCGATTTATTTACAATACTATTTTTAATTGTGTTAAGTTTTTGCAAATAATATCATCATACAAACGTTATCTCAATATTTTAACACATTTACACTGAATGAAATTAACTGGTATTTTAAATATATAAATAATGCAATACTGCAAAAAAGGATATTAGATTAATTTACAACTGGAGTAATGGCTGCTGAATGTTCAGATTTGGCATCACATTAATAAATAAGTTTTCAAATATGTTCATGTAAAAAAACTTCACAGCATTAGATATTAATGCATTATTTTTGATCAAACAAATGAAGCCTTTGTAAGAATAAGATGCTTCCCAGCAGGCACACGAAATCATAAGATGGTAACATTAGGTGAGATTTAGGTTGAGATGTCAGGTGACCAAAATTCAATGTCTAGCCAGCGTCTAAGGACAACATTATTTTAATGTATAATAATGATGTCAAATGATGTTGATATTTGGTTGAGTTTAGGTTGTGTTGGAACTAATATATTGACGTCAAATACTGACATTTATTCATCAGGTATGGCAACCAAAATCCAACATCTGATAGACCTCATAGTGGTAACGTCAAGCTGTAACATCATTAGATTTTGATATTCTGGTTGATGTCTTGTGCCTGCCGGGATATTTTAAGCATCTAAACAACTAAATTGTCATTTTTGAGTGTAAACAAATTGTGGGTGTTGCCTTTTTCCCTCTAAAAAATGTCTCACCTCTCTCAGCCTCCATGCTCTCCTGTCCCAGTGTGGGTGGCTGTGAGTCCTCCGTCCGGTAATAAGGAGGATGTGAAGGACTCACTGCTTCACTCACATGCTGTGGACTGGAGTTGCTACTGCTGTCCACTTTGGTATTAGACTGATAGGCATCTGATAGGAAACTCTGATTACTGTTGTCATCTGTGAATAAAAAACATATTTGTAGCCAGTCTTCACATTATCAGTCAATTATATTTAAAGTCGGCATGAACTGGACATTGCTGCAGACTTTTATTTTAGTACGATGATGCATTTCCAACTGAAATGGAATATTGAGTAGGGGGCGGGACTTTATTTTTATGCCTTTTAAGCATATTTCACCCAAGCTGTCAAACTGACGCCTAGTCGTGGGAAGCTCAGATCACTTTACTGACTCAGACCTTTGAGTCTTGTTTAGCAAGATGAATGAATCTTTTTTTCGTTTATTTCATCAAAATATCCTGACAATGTTACCAAACACATCTACAACTAGCCCAAATGTTAAATACACTCTAAACAAGTCATAATTAGAATGCTATTATAAAAAGAAAATAATCATTCATTGCTTACCTGGTTGTTTTGTCAATGAATAGCTCAGCTCTTCTGACAAGGCTTTAAGTTTGATTCGTTCGTTTATGCGAGACTGACAGTTAAGCTAAACCAATGCACAGAGTCTAAGCTAGAAGGGCCCATGATCAGTTCACCTGTCATGTCTTCAGGTTTTTTTTTTTTTGAGTCATTCATTCATCATGTAAAGCATGTAAAGTCAATTGAACGACTCAAACACAAGGACTCGATAAGTGAACAGATCAAGGGTCTGTTCTTCGTACCTCGCTTAAATGATCTAAGATGATTTGGCAGATCCTGGATCTTTTAATCTTGATAACTGATCTCTCGCTAATTTGGTTCTTCAAACAAGTTCGCGAATCAGATTAGCATGTCTGGATGAACTGATCTGAGATCACTGCGTGTGTTGTAAAGGACAGACCTATCGATCCTCGAAATCATGATCAGCAATGCAGCGATTGGCTGACGGCACAGCTGCGTAATGACATCATCTGATTAATATTCAATTGTCCATGTGAGCAAAATTACGTCAAATTAGCAGTAAACGGTTTGTTAAATATGACACGCAATAACCTTCAGCATTTGTTGTGAGCTGCAGGCTTTACTATTTTATGTGTCAAGAGTATTCATTATGTATTTCAATGCATATCAGTGTATTTAGTTCTACAGTTAGAAAAGATTTTCTTTATTATAGTAGCCGTTTTTTTAATCGGTGTAAAGAATAACTGGTTGTTTACAAAAGCATTTTGATATTGGTAAAGGCGCCTGCAACTTTAGTGAAGCATCAAATCACTGGCATATTAACTATCAAAACATGTTTATGACTGCATAAATTATTGCTTTAAAAAAGTCACATATTGTGCATTTCTATTATACACAATTTGTACTAAGCGATCTAAAAAGTTCATATCAATAAGTTTTCTCTGTGCACCACCAGGTGGCAGTCTTTGTACTTTCATTTCGAGAGTGCAGATTGGACAAGTTTTATTAATATATATAACTTTATTTATTTTATTAATAACTATAACTTTATATATATAGTTTAAAAAATATTTACTCTTTTCCCAAGTGTATATAACTACAACTGTAAGAAAATATCAGAATTCGGTACATACTTTCTGTATTATATTTGCTTGAACTGAGCCGATCTAATCCTGTTTATATGAATTGAACCTGCTCCCGATCAGGTTTAAGCTAGCAGAACTGTTGCTATGACAACAACTCTCGGATCAGCTTTGAAGAACGAAATGATCCTGGATCGTGTCAAATCGTCAATATCCAAATCCAGCTAACTGAGTAATCCACGTACGAAGAACGGACCCCAAATCTTTTTCGGGCTCTGATTGCATATGTTTGGTTTCTGTTTTTTCTTTGATGAACAAATAATTCAAATATGATAGAAGACTCGGAAAAAGGGGACTAATCTTATCTCCCTTATGCATAATGTGAACAAATCACTCTCTGAGAGGACTCATCGTTCTTGAGTCACACAAAAGATTCAAACCGTTCAAGAACGACCCATCACTACAGACGTCATCAGAGAAGGACTGCTGTTGTAGAGCACGAGCAAACGGTTGCTTTTTGATTAAAGATTACTTAAACTATAGTGAATTAATTTACATGGATTAACAGATCGCTTTAACACTAACAATGTGCGCACGGCAAATAAACATTGTGAATTTGCATTTCATGTGAACAATGAAGAAAATTAAACAACTGAATAAATGTATGTTTTGGTAATCTTCAATCAAATTCTGACCATTTGCTTCCACACTTGGAGTGTCGACCCTTCTTTATTGACATCAGTTTTAGGGCTTAAGCCACAATATTTTTAACTACGTCCCTCTTAAAGGCTGATTTATACTTCTGCGTCAAATGCTGGCGTATGCTACGGCGTTGATGCATAGCCCTTCGCCGTGGCCGTCACTGACGTGCACCTCTCAAAAAATGTAACTACACATCGCAACGCGTAGCGCAAGCTCTTTGATTGGTCGGATTGGTAGCGCTGACGAGTCTGGGTGGGACCGAGAGCCGCGCGAATGGCATGAGCCCAATGGAGCGATTGTTAACAAGTGTCGAGTCTCGTGAAGGAGCTCCGGATGGAAAGTTTTGTTTTGTGTTTACCTCATAGTTAAAGTTGTTGCACGTCCGCCGGTTCCTGCCTCAAAATAAGCGAGTTTGAGCCACTTGTACATCCCGGAAGTGTTCAGGAAAAGCAAAACAGCAGCGAAGAAACTCGACACAGAGGAACATTAACACCTCACTGCCAACTAGCGTTTTGGAAGTGTTAATGCAGAACAAAGGAGACCACGTGCAGAAGTATAAATACACGGCTACGGGCGTTGCATGCGCCGTGGGTTACGCCGGTCACTTGACGCAGAAGTATAAACCAGGCTTAAGGCTGATTTATAGTTCTGCTTAAAGCGCACATGTATGGTCTGGTGCAGCCTTTCTGCGGTCACATAGCCCTCGCTGTGGCTGACGCTGACCTCTCAAAAAAATTTAACTACATGTGACAATGACGCATAGCGCAAGCTCTGGTCGGCTTGGTAGCAGTGAAGAGTGTGGGCGGTGCTGAAAGCAGCGAGCCTGATGGAGCGATTGTTTACAAGTGTTGAGTCCTGTGAAGGAGTTCCAGATGAAAGCTTTTGTTTCGTATTCACCTTATGATTAAATTTGTTGAACATCTGCAGGTTCCCGCCTCTGAATGAGTGAGTTTAAGCTACTTGTACATTAAGGTAGCGTTCAGAAAAAACAAAACACCCATGAAGAAACTCAATGCAGAGAAACATGAAACCTACTCCCAGCTAGCGTTTCGGAAATGTTATTGCAGAGCAACACAAACAGCATGCAGAAGTATAAATCAGCCTTTACCGTCAGTTTGCTACAAGGGAATGATGCATAAAAAGAAAGCCCAGTCCCCTACTCAATATTCTATTTCAGTTAGAAGTACATCAAGCTTTATTCTTTAGGTACTTGAGCATATTGCACTTTCATTCTACCACTATTCTGCTACCTGCCTGATATTCTGAATATGTCCCAAAAACTGAAATAGTGTTATCCGACTTTGTATGTTTTGTCAATTAGTCCATGTAAAGCAGTTGACACAGTATTCATTGTTTAAACTGCTATTAAAATAAAAGTCACTGTTAAAGTAGTGATGCAAACAACACTGTCAAGGTAATAAAGCATAACAACAGCCCAGTAGTAATGCTGTAAATTGAATAGAGGATGTTTTGAATTGTTTACAGAGAAAATATCAAGCTTCCTTGTTTCTGACATAAACATAACCTGTCCTGAATTACCCTGGAAATCCAGTAGAACAGAACGGGCATTTTCCAGCACCACATCTGTAGGAAAGCCCTTCAGTTCCCTCACCGCAGGACCTGCCCCCTTAGGCTTGTATATCTATCAGAAAGAGAAACAAATATTAAACAATGTGGCTCAAAGATTTGGTGTAAACTCAATAAGGTTGTAGTCAGGATGGCCTAAACCAAGTCAAGACCAAACCAGAACTCATGTAGCTTTTGATAAAATTATTTAAAGTAAATTAAAATAACAAATACATGTACATTGTTATTTTAAAATATACATTTTAAAGGGATAGTTCACCCAAAGATGACTCTGTCATCATTAAATCCAAATCTCTTTGAGTTTCTTTCTGCTGTTAGACACAAAAGAAGAAAAATGTTGAAAAGCAGCAGCCATTGACCTCCATAGTATTTGGATTTGGACTATGGATGTCAATAGCTGCTGGTTTTGTGTTAAACAGCAAGAAATTCATTCAAGTTTAGAACTAAGCCTCAAGTGTGAGTAAATGGTGGGAAATTTGTAATTTTTTTGAGAAGCATTTTATTGGCTGTTTTCTTTAAATGATGGTAAAAAACAATTATACCATTAATAATTAAAATATATACATTTCAAAATGAATCGGCTGTATTTCACTCACAATACAAGCTGAATGACATGTTTATTATTTTGATGCTTGAGTAATTCAATTTTCACCTTGAGCTGGAGAGTCACTTAAGGTGATTTGATGCACAAACCTGTTTCGTCTCTGTTACCGGAACCCATTTAAATATCCGTAATGAAGTGTCTCCGACTGTAACCCACTTTTTTTCCCTAAAAAGACAAATATTTTAAGATTAATCTCACAAAAGATGTCCAAGGCACATTTTAAATTGTGTGCAAATAAAACGAAATTAATTTTGGGACTAATATTATGTATCAGTTCTTATTATTTTGAGTAATACCCTTTATTGTAGTCATTTTATCCTGAATACAAAAACACTGCATTTCAAATGTGTATTCAATCTTGCATTTCAAAATAGCTTAATACAGTAGTTTATTCTACAAGGATTTATCTAATATGAACAAACGCCACATGCTCTTGACTGTACGTTGCATGAATTTGCTGAACAGACTAACTCAAATCATACAGGTTCATTGTTACATTTCCGAACAGAATGACAAAATGACTTCACTCCATTACAGTCCGCCAACAGATTGTACAATCCCCATTGACACGTCTAAGCCACGCCCACACGCTAAAAACAGTGATCCCCATTGGTCGCCTTGCTTGTCTGTCATGTTATGTCGAAGGACGTCACCCTCCCCGCCACTCTGAAGTTTATTTTTGTAACGTAGAAGAAAAGAAACTTCAGTTTCCCTCTTCAAAACGGCCAACTTACCACCGCCGAACCCTCTCAATGGCCGCCATTACTTTTTTGATGTCATCTTTTGCACGGCTGCGCGTCTCCGCTCGCACGGACCGTCCAGACATTATGATGGCTTTTATTAGTTTGTCAAGATCTTCCTCTTTTTCTCGCCTTCCTCCGTCTGTGACTGCGATCTCGCCTGGTCTTCGTCCCGGTCTCGCGAGACTTTAGAACGCGACACTGGCACTGCATCTCTGCTTTTCATATCTTCCATTTTAATATATTTGTTTATCTATTTAAATTGTAAAATACCCTTGAATTAATTTAATCTAATATCTAATATACGAGGCGACCACACAACGTTAAAAAAAACCGTTAAGTGCATGTAATGTCCTCATAATACCACAAGATGACAGCGTTTACACTTTTAAAACCCCATGTGAGGCCTAAGTTACCATACAGAATCTCCACAAAAATCCTTTCAGGTAATAAATCATATTTTATATAGTATTAAATTTGTACATTTTAAATGTGGCGCCTATCATCACAACAGAACTGAATTTGGAATATTTACACATTTTGTGTGAGCAAAAATACAAATATTTTAAAGACGCCATTTAAAAAAAAAACTTTTTTGTTTTTTGTATTTCACTCTAAATATTTTTTTTTATATTTACTTTATTAACCTAGAATTAATCATTAACAATCAGAAGTTTAATATTCTGCATAAGAGGAATTATCCCTTATATGCTGTCTGGGATGTTTTCATCCACCCTGGGGTGATTTTGAGTCTTAATTTGGCCATTATGCTGTGTTTCAGCTGGCAAAATGATATTTGGTGACAAATCTTATATTGACACGTTTTTTTTTTAACATAATGCTTTGAATTTAAAAAAAAAAAACTTAATACACTCTCGGGTCTCGGCTCATTGACTGCTCTTTTGTTATGTTTGGGATCAAAACCTCCACTGAGTTAAACTACTCCAAAACTGCCACAAAGTAATTTTTTTCTTCTCACATTTTTGCATAAATCTGTTAATCAACCTCAGTTCTGATCAAAACTACTCTATATATTTTAAATTACAGTATGTTAACTCTTTAAATACCAAAATTCATAAATTATGTCACTGATTTGGTAAAGAAAAACACACAAAATGATGCATTTCCAATATAAAAAGTAATTAAGGACAGGATTGTTTTTACCTTTTATCAAAGTCTTGGATTTGTGAAACAACATTGCCTTTGACACATTGGTTTTGATGTGAATGCCCCCCCAATTTACTGTTGGTGGCAGTTTTGTCTCATTAACTTCCATTATAACCACATTTTCTTTATTGCAAAACCATGACACCATGAAATCATGCATTTTCCATTGTTGATGGTGGGTCAAATCTGTAATTTTTAGTCGATCATCAGTTGGCTCCATTAACGCTTTATATAGGCCTGTGCAAAAAAAAAGCTTGATTTCCAGATTTTATATGGAGTATAACATTAAATTAAAGTGTGTGTATGTGTGTCTGAGTGTGTGAAAGCGTGAGTGTGATCTTTACGCACTTACCTTGATGTGTCTGAGAAAATCAAAAATGCATCTGAGCTCTCAGATCTACATGGAGTAAACAAAAGCAAAGACTGTATTTATGCACCATTAAATGTGCTTATAAAGGAGGTCAATGGGGCAAAAACAGCCACCAACAGTAAATTAGAGAGAAAAAATTAAAATCTAACCATGCATCAAAGCCAATGTTGTTACTAATCGTTTACATGTCTGAGACTCTGATAAAAGATTTTTAAAAATCCAGCCCACAACTACTGTTTATATTGAAAATACATCATTTTGTGTGTTTTTTCAACAAACCAATGACATCATTTATAAATGTGGCAATTAAAGAGTTAAAATCCTGTAATTTTTAAAAACCTTTAGTAGTCTTGATCAGGACTGATGTTGATTAACAGGTTTATGCAAAAAAAAAAAGAAAGAAAGAAAGAAAAATATATTTATCTGATGCATTTTTCCAGCAGTTTAATTTAGTGGATGTTTCCATCCTGAACATAAAGAGTAGTCAGTTTGAACAGTGCACAAGAGTTGGTCACACTTTACAATAAGGTTCATTAGTTAATGTTAATTAATGCATTTACTAACATGAACAAACAATGAACAATACATTTACTTCTGTATTAGTTCATGCTAATTAACATTAGTTAATGAAAATACAGTAGTTCATTGTTAGATCATGTTAACTCATGGTGCATTAACTAATGTTAACAAGCATGGACTTGGATGTTAATAATGCATTAGTAAATGTTCAATTATGATTAATAACTGCTGTACAAGTGTTGTTCATGATTAGTTCATGTTAGTAAATGCATTAACTAATGAACCTTATTGTAAAGTGTTACCCAAGAGTTAAGTAACATTTGTCCTCCACTGAGGTTAATTACTACACCATTTAATAAAAAAAAATTAAATAATATTTCAGACTCAAAAATAGACATCTCAAAATTTCCAATGTAATATTATTATTATTATTATATTGCTTAATATTTATAATGACAATAATAATAATTTGACAAACTCAAGTGTAAGAAAACAATTGTGGAAAAACTATTTTAACTTTATTTGTGTGGTTACACCATAGAACTCCACTGCAGTGACGAATACACCACATCTCCATCCTGCGGAGAGCAAAGCAGCACCGTTTTCTTCACATTAGAGCCCAGACGAGCAATAGCTAGAATATCACAGACCGGCATCTCTTCATCTAACGAGACGCATAATGCAATATAATGAGCATGAAAGCGTAGAGGATCACCTGTGAAAAAAATATATTTTAAAAAATGAGTGTTAAATTGAAAATACTAACGTTCTATCTTCAATGAAACGTTACATCTTTGCTTTTGTAACACACCTGGATACACCAGGAAATCTCCTCCAAACTTCCCAGCAGAGGTCAGGTAGTAGCCTTTATTTCTCAGATCCCTGTACACAGAGAATCTAGTGTTCAAGTGCTCATCTCTGGGCATAGGGCAGTCTGTGGAGTGGAAACTGCGCTCCTCTGGACAGTGACTGAAGCCGGAGCGGGCAGTGCAGAGCTGGACTGCCATCGCTGACCAGGGGAAGCGGAAAGACTGGTCCAGTGCTTCGAGACGCTCTCTGACTGCACTGCCAGAGCCTTCAGTGCCTGTGAAGTCATGGAGAGTCATTTACACACACACACACACACACACACACACACACACACACACACACACACACACACACACACACACACACACACACACAGTTAAAATTATATGCCTTTTAAAATACAGGAGAGATTTCTTTTCAACATGTAAAAGCAAAATAGATTTAATAGCTAATTTCTAATAACTCAATTATTTTGTCTTTGTCATGATGACAGTGCACAATATTTACTAGTTATGTAGCTAGATAATAGTATTCAGCTTAAAGTAAAATTTAAAGATTTAACTAGGCAAGTAAGTTTAATTAGGCAAGTCATTGGATAACAGTGATTTGCTCTTTAGACAAATTATATATATATATATATATATATATATATATATATATATATATATATATATATACATGGTTGAAGTCTGAATTATTAGCCCCCCTTTGAATTTTTTTTTCTTTTTTAAATATTTCCTAAATTATGTAACAGAGCAAGGAAATGTTTACAGTATGTCTGTTAATATTTTTTCTTCTGGAGAAAGTCTTATTTGTTTTATTTTGGCTAGAATAAAAGCGGTTGTGAATTATTTAAAAAACATTTTAAGGACAAAATTATTAGCCCCTTTAAGCTATGTTTATTTTCAATAGTCAACAGAACAAACCATCGTTATACAATAACTTGCCTAATTACCCTAACCTGCCTAGTTAACCTAATTACCCTAGTTAAGCCTTTAATTCTCACTTTAAGCTTTATAGAAGTGTCTTGAAAAATATCTAGGAGGCTGTGCAATTAATATACCGCCCCCCCTTCCAGTAGTCCAGTTGCTCTGCAAAGCTCAGTTTCACGTGAAAATGCCACAGATTAAAGCTGCAAATTAAAAATAAAGTTAACATTTGTTTATTTATTGCCACATTAGCAACTTATGCCTACTTCACGGCAAGATCGACATACATAAAACTTCAATAACTTCATATTTCAAAAGTTGATACAAAATTAGTAAATATATAAATGTAAATACATAATTTAAGAAAATTACATTAAAAACATTACATATGATCATTCAGTTCAATTTCTGATAAATAATCTAAAATTCTTCCTGGGGATGCATTCATCAAACATTCATCAAAGTGCTCTGAGAATAAAAATCTTGTCTAGATGCCTTTTAAAAGTTACCATTGGTATTAAAGGGGTCCTACTATGCCCCTTGTTTCAAGATGTAAAATAAGTCTGATTTTTTTCTGTTTGTGCATCTGATGTTTCAAAATACCACACAAATAATGTTTTATATCTCTTTGAAACTGAGCCTTTTAGGCTTTGATCCTAATTGTGCCATTTTGGTGACTGTCACTTTAATTTCAAATGAGGGCAGAGGTACAAATGCGTCAGCATAGTGGCAGTTTCAAAAACAAGACTAAGGGTGCTTTCACACCTACACTTTTGTTTCGGAACGTATCTCGTTTGCCCAGTTAGCGCGGTTCGATTGGCATATGTGAACACGGCAATCACGCTCTGTTCCGCGCCAAAGTAATCGCTCTGAGATCGCTTGAATGAGGTGGTCTCGGCTCGATTGAAACGAACCCTGGAGCGGTTCGATTGCAGTGAGAAAGTGATCCGATCCGAGCGCGGTTATATCACAGTGTTTTATGGATATGTAATAGGCTTACAGCTATATGAAGAGAGAATTATGAGTAGGGTGGGAAGTTTCGCGAGTCTCCGGATGCCCGCAAACGAGTGATGATCTCCCGGTAATCTCATCGCGCACCTTGTCAATCACCACCAAACCACCACCTCTCCTGACAGCTGAGCGGGACTCTGCAAAATAAACCCTGACACTCTGACCAATGTGAGGAGAGTTTACTCGCACGTGACTTGTTTTATCTCTTTTGGTCCGATTGGAAACTTTGCAGTGTGAAAGCGAACCGCACCAAGAGCAAAGAGCAACAATGTAACATTTGTAATCTCTGTTTCGGAACAACTGAATCGATTCACAGGTGTGAAAGCACCCTAAC